GGATTACACGAAAATGCGTTAGACGGAAAATTGATTTACATTTACACTAATTTCCCCTTTTTGCCATATTCTCATATTGAATTTCTTGCCCAACAAAAAATCAAATATTAGCTAACCCATCTGCGGAATACAGGCCATATTCTCTATCCCCCTCTCTCTCTATGGTGATATACAGATATTTCCGAATGTATATACAGTGTTCTACTATTCTTGTTTAATTCAAACAATTCGAAGTAATCGATTGTAATCAAATGTTTCCAAATTTTTTTTTATTAAGGACCCTCTTCGTTTTTTCATCACTTTAATTGCATCCTACTGTTTCTTTATTTTTTTTTTTTTTTTTTATATTACATTAATATTAACAGTTAAAACTTCTAAATAAAAAAGAAATAGAAAGCGCGGCAAATTTAAATATACAACAAACCTTTATTCTCCTATGACAAAAATGGCTTCTTTTTCTAGCTATCGTACACACTTGCGCGCACATATCTCTTCAAGTATATATACACTATATATATACACTATATATATATATATATTTAAACACATACACGAAAGAGGAATAGAAAAATGGTGCGGTAGAAGTCGATAGATAGATGTATGTCCATTTTGTTGAGAACACGAACACTAACCCTGCAATGTGTTTTCTAGTGTTGCCAAGATGATGATGATGATGGCTTTTCCCTTTCCATATCTTTTCTCAACTACAGTTACCAACCATCGGACATCGATGTGTTTCCGAAGTCAAACACGAAACAAAGCGAACGAACGAACGGTTGAGAGACTCCGTGCACTTGACTGTGTGCTTCTATGTTTCTCGGTGAGAGTGCCACGTGATATTGTGTTCGACCCTATAGCTGAGCTTTTCATATACATCTATCTATCTATCTATCTATCTATCTATTCATTTATCTATCTATATAGCTAGCTAGTTAAACTATATATATATATATATATATATATATATGTATCTATGTTTATACAAAAAGAAATAAAGAAAACAAGAGAGGGAGGGAGATAGATTTGTTACGAGAGGTAAAGAGAGTACTTAGCAATTGGCCACACCTTTTCGTGCCTGAACGCTCTTTTAGGCACGGGTATAATAATAATAAGTCGGTGATACTCTTTCCTTCTCTCTCTCTCTCTCTCTCTCTTGTCGTCTCGAACGACAAAAGGAAACACGCGGACGACGATGACGACGATGACGACGATGACGACGGATGCGAAATCTGCGCTATCGACTTTCGTTGAATGGACGACGAAATAGCGTAGGTGGTAGTGGTGGTGGTTGTTGTTTTCTAAGTTAAGTACGAGGGGAACACCATTTGATATGAACATGAACATGAACTAAAGAAAGAGAGAGAGAGAGAGAGAGAGATTATTTTAACTTTCAATCAAATGTAATCCAATTAAATCGTAAAGTATAAAGAAAGACTCAAAATATCTTCAAATGAACAAAAACCCATTTACAAATACAGTCTATTAAATAATTCAACGTTAATGAAATGCAATATTGCAATGAGGAAGGACTTAATGATTTTTTTTTATTTAATTTTATATATATATATATTAAAAGGTTCATAGGATTATAATTATTAAGTTAAATTCTGTTGATAAAATTGTTGAAATTTCTGAAATCGTCCTCATTGGAATATTACGTGAATTGAATTATAAGTTAATAAAGAATAATAATATTTTATTGTTAGAGTGTATCGTTTTAAAACATGGAAATAGTAATAAATTGCTTATCACGTGGACAGTACAGTTCTGACAATAACAATGGATGTAAAACGTTATTGCTGACGACATTACGGGTTATTTGCACACACAACTTAACTAAAAGACAAATATTTTCGTATTGAAAATCTTCCTTTAGCTAATATTTTAGCCCTTATTTCTCGATAAAAAAAAAAAGGTCATGAGGAGGCGTCTTTAACAGTGTCGGTAACTTTGGCCGACAAAAAAAAAAGGAACCGAAGAGAAAGTCAAAGGAAAAAAGAAAAAAAAATGAGAAAAAAAAACCGGCAATGGCGAGTTTCGAGAAATCGTTTCTCTCTTCGTCTTCTTGTTCGGTGCTATTAAATCATCTCTTATTATACACGACCTTGGCCGTTATTTTTCTAGACTTCGATTCTTATCTTCCTCGCATTTGTACGAAACAAATTTTTCATCGAATATATATATATATATATATATATATATATATATATATATATANTTTTTTTTTTTTTTATGTAATTTATTTTGAAAAAGAATTTTCAGGTCAAATGTTTGAGTGAAAATATTCAATCGTGATTTGATTAAAATTAACATTTTCTTTCTCACTCTCTCTCTTTATTTTTAATAATAAATCACAAAAGAAATAAAAAGAGGATAGAAGGAAGGAAGGACGAATTATCTCTCTCTCTCTCTCTCTCTCTCTCTCTCTCTCTCTTTCTATTTTTCCTCTTTGCTTATTTCAGAGGTTCTTGGGATCCTTCAATTTTATGGCTTTAGTAGTAACCCGTATTATTCTGATGGCGTAACATGACGAAAATACATTCCATGAGTATATACGAGTAAAGAAGGTCAAAATCTCTAAAAAGAGTGTATGTGTGTGAAAGAGAAAAAGAGAAAGATTCAAATATACATATAAACGATAGAGAGGAAATAAGAAAAGGAAGGAAAAAAAAAATAGAAAAAAAAGATAACTTATGTAAAATAGATAAATATTTTTCCACGAAAAATATTATATGTAAAAAAAAAAAAAAAAAAAGAAGAAATGAGCTAATGGTAATATTTCTCGAAAATAAAATTCTCAATTAGAACAAAAATTTGTTGTGGATGCTCAATTCTCTTGTCGTGCGTTAAAATGTCTTCAAATTTTAATTATCGTCTTAGATAAGAAGATAAAATTGTGATAGTCTTGTTGAGATCATTGAGTGGATTCATTTATCTAACAATCTCTCTCCCTCTCTCTCTCTCTTATTTTTATTTTTCACATGTGTTTTTCTTATTTAAAAAAAAAAAAAAAAAAAAAAAAAAAAAGGAACAAATAATAAACGAAGAATTATATATTTATATATGAAACGAAAATGGAGCTTATGGTGGGCAATGGACAGCGAGTATTTCGAACACAAATTAAATTACAGTGTACCGATAGCGGTCTTTCCTGTTTACTCAGCGTCACTATTCCTTCCCCCTACCCTCTTCCCCCTTCCCTCGTCTATGGTGCACAAAGCTATACAAGTGGAATTATTTAAAAGGAGCTTCAAGAACACATCGTAATATGGATAAAGAAATCGTACAATAACGTTCACGATTGTACGTATCACATTTAATGGCAATGTTAAAACCCTAGTCAATTTATTTCTATTTCATTTTAAACGGCTCATTCACTCACACTAACGAACGAAAGTGTAATTGAAGAGACGATACTTAAAAAAAGTTAATATAATTGTAATAAATGAATGAAGAATTATTAATTTAAAAAGTTAAGAAAAAAAAAATAAAATAAAATAAAATGATAAAGCTTGTTTCGTCATTGGGAAATATTTATTCAATGATTGCTTCTGCTTTTTAGAAAGCACGTTTCATATTTTTAAGATGTGTCATGATAGATAATAATCGTTTGAATGGAATTATTTAAAAAAAAAAAAAATTCATTTAAATACAGATCACGCCATCTATTGTTTAAATACGATAATGTGAAAAAAAAATAGTAATTTAAAAAAATAGAAAATACGTTTACAATTGGTCACACACTCGACCAACGTTGGCTGCTCTCGCCAACTCATTCTCTCTGTCTCTATCGAATGAATCGTTAAACTGCATAATAGTCACATATGACTATTTAATTAACTTTAATTATTTAAAGCTAAAAATAAAACGAAATATAATTGTGCAATGCAATATTGAATGGAAAATAATTTGGAAAAAAAAAATGTATTCGTAAATATTATCGGTGTATAATTAGAAAAAATTGATTTAGAAAAGATCAAATTGAATGATAAAATGAAAAGTTTGAGTTTTGCGCATGTCCAATGAATTATCCTTGCTTGTCGTCGACATTGTTGTTTCGCGTTCTCTTCTTCTCCCCTTCTGTTCTTTCAACGGCTTTCACAATGACATTCGCGTTAAGTTCGTGTAATATGACATCAATGGTCGTTAAACGCGCTACTAACATACCAACTTCCGTTAATACACGATGAGAAATACATTTCAACCGAATTGATACAAGACACACGTCTATCAAACTTGTTTGTCTTAATTAAACGTGTAATCACAATTTCAAATTGTTCTTTTTACATATTATTTAATACAATTCATTTCTAGGTTAGGTTTAAGAAGAAGTATTTCCTTACCAACAAAATATTCTTTATCGAGAAGCCATTTCGTTTGTTTTTTGTCTGAAAAGGAGAAAAAGAAAGAAAGAAAGGAAGGAAGGAATCGATAGAAATTTTTCAGAGAAACTCAATATACTCGACGTATCCATGCCACTCGGCCAAGCAGCTAGCATTTTCATTTTCTTCGGGACATTACGCAAAGTAGCCTGGAACTCTTTGAAAGAGAACAGGAATCCCTACCTACTTTTTTTTGATTGTTCCTTTCTAGGTCGACTATGAATATATTTCAACTACTATGTTTATATATACGAAAGAGTGGAATAAAAAGAGAAAATCTGCACAGACGACCACCCACCAATCATAAGAAAGGGATAAAAGAAAAAAGAAAATGTCTGCCGATGCGGGAGCCAATAGCGTTGTTGAAAATACTCGCGTATCAATGGCCGCCGCTATTTTTGTTTCCCATGCGACATCTTTGCAAGGATTTTAGGATCGGAGGAACTTTCATTCCTTCCAAGTTGTTTTCTATTACCTTTATATATATTAAGGAACTATTTTCCTAAACCTGACTAATATCCCTAACACTAACCTAACTAGGGAAAACGAAACTAGGGGAACTCGAATCCGAAGACGCGTTTAGAAGAAAGGAAGGACCAAAATGAAATGTAAGCTCACCCTCGCTCCGAGAAAGCGGGCCTCCAATAACTCCTGCTTCCTTGGGTCCAGGGTGGCCTGAAAGTGCTCCATCTTGACGCCAGCGCCTGCAACAACAAGTCACAGAACGAATTATACCTAGTTCCTTTTTTTCTCTTTTTTTCTTTCTTTCTTTCTTTCTTTCTTTCTTTCTTTCTTTCTTTCTTTCTTTCTTTTTTTCTTCAATTTTTCAATGGAGACCAACAACCATCTAATTTGAAAAAACGTATTTGTTGAAACAAAGCAACCAAACACGAGGATGGAAGAACTACTAACAAGGACTTTCCTAATCACCCAAAGCAATTATAAATTTATTAGAAGATATTACGATTGAAATCGAAAACACCCTTGTATGTGTAGAGTTACGAATTTTTCAATGGAAATGTTTAAAGATCCATTTTCTGATTAGAGAAGACTGGATGAGATAGAAGACAGTATGCATTTGTTTCTTATTTCATTTTACGAGTCTACGAAAAATTCAATCAATGCACAAGTTTATGAAAAGTTTAGTCAATGTACGAATGCACGAAAAATATTTTTTCAATTTACGAGAATCAATGAGCTACGCGAAGAAATTAGTCAATGCACGAGTCTACGAAAAATTCAATCAATGCTCATTGATCATTGATTAATTTCTTCGTAGACTCATCGAACTTGTTTGAAAATCAATCACATAATATTTTTTTGCTGAATTTGGTATCGTTGTACTCATTTCATAATTAATAAGGAGTTAATTGTGAAGAAAGTATGTGAATATATTATTCGATATTTTTATCATGAGGAAGAAGAGATATCGATGAAATGAAAATAGCAATTGTAAGATCGATTCGTATATTTTTGAACAAGGACAAACACTTATATTGAAATATGTCGTACCATAATAAACTATGGCCGTGGGTAGTAGTAAACAGTTCGATCGTTATTATAATTAACTACTCTTTGATATGGCATATCATTTATCATCTATTTCGATCAGATATGTATAATAAGTATAATGGTTTAGTGCAACTGTGTTCTGTATATTTCTTTTTTTCTTCTAAAAGAATTATTGTATATGTATTGTATATGTAAAAAAGGGTGTGTCACATCTAATGATTAAAAACGTAATCTCATTTAACTTTCTTTTCCACATCGCGAATTATCAAATTTAAATATTATTGATAATAATGATGAGAAAAATTAATAAAAAAAAACATAACAATTGATATGATTTTTGATGATACTAACATTTCTAAATGTATTATTTCAATATTTGTGCAACTTTGATCCTTTGATTTCATTGCATCTGTTTTTCAACAAAATTAATTTGAAACATTTATATTATAAATCATTTTGTGTAAGTTTGATTGCAAAAAATATTAATTGGGATTTCTAGCACTTGAATACGCTATCTGGTGGCTAAATTCAAAATTAGAGTAGATAGGTCGAATTTTGCTACGCCACGTAGTGGGATTTCTAGCACTTGAATACGCTATCTGGTGGCTAAATTCAAAATTAGAGTAGATAGGTCGAATTTTTGTTACACCACGCCGCTGCCAGAGATTCCAATAGGAATTTTTATTAAAGTATGTTCAATTGTTAATTTGGTGTAAACATTTAACAGAAATTTATGATACGTCTCTTTATCGACAATACAGCAGAGATACGTTAAACATGTATTCGATATCAAGAACAGAGATCTGGTCTAATTGTTACTACTTTCTACTTTCTAGTCAAGTTTTACATTATATAAGATAGTAAATAATCTCTTGTATTAAGGAATATTTAAATATATATATTATTTCTCGTTTCATGGAAAGACCTTCGACCGAATAAACGTTGTTATCCTTCAACAAAGTTGTTTTCTTATCTTTAGACATTACAAAGAGATATATATATTATAAGTATGCTTATTAAACACATTGTTGACCGGCTATTGTATACACAAATCTTATAATTTCTATTATAATAAATGAATTCAAAGTATATTCAAATAATTTGTCCAAATTTCTTGTAAAAAAAAAATGGAAAAAAAAAATTGTAAGTAAACGCAATCGAAGAAGATAAATTAAATAATTGCACGTAAGTTAGGCTTGAATGAGCACACACAATATAAATTATAAATTAATTAAATATATATTTGTGATCGATCAATAATGCGTTCAAAAATATCAATAACAACGAATAAATTATTTGTATGAAGTTAAAAAAGAAAAAGGAATGAAAGTCACTGATATTCTCGGATCACCTTGCCCGAGACAGCAGTAAAGAGAATGAAGAACCACGTACGCTCGTCAATGGATCGTTCTACGCACGACAGTGGTTCTCAATTAAATAATAAATAACTAATTTAACTTGAGTTTTTTTATACACGTTTTTTTTTTCGATTAAAAACTCGTTACACCAAATAATTACACGAATAAATATGAAACCTAATCAAAATGGCGAGTTCAATACGATACACTTGTACTTTTTCTTCGCACGATATATCGATTTATTTTCGAATGAATTTATTTCAATAACAAACTAACGTTAACTAATCCACCAAACTAGTTCGTTAGTTTTTTTTGTTAATTCTTTCTTTTCAAACATATTTCGGACGACAAATGATAAGCCTAAATATAATCGCACGATATACTACTTCATAACCTTGGTTAAAATCATTTTCACGTCTAATTTAGTATTGAAGTATTTATATATACGTTGCATACATAAAATTAAACATATAATACACTTTGAAATTCGATTAATTGGAAAAATGAAAATAGTCAATTTGTTCAACGACGTTAATGTTTTTATAATAAAACTATTGAAACTATTAGAAAAAAATAGTTATTATTGAATGAGATAAAAATGATTATTATACCATTGGTAATTAAATAATTTTATCGTTAATTCGAAATTCGGAAAACTATTTCATTCACCTTATCGCAAAATTCAATGTCCGTTAACGTTGGAACGATCAATGTAAATATCATTTTCCCAGTGGAAACTAGGGATTTCAGAGCGATACATAGATAATGTAATGTATCGTAATATTCACATTCGAAATTTATCCTATTAAAGATACAATTTCATTAAATTAGTCCCCTAGAGATCAAATAGAAATGTTCGAACAATAGCCTGTCAATTCGCGGATAGCTTCATTAATTTCCCTTATGATGGCCTCTCGCGCCATTTTCTTTTTTTCTTTTTAATCTTACATGCGGTTAAAACTCAAGACGATTATTATTGTCGACAAGTGAAAAGCTTCAAAACATTCTCATTGGGGCAAAATAAAATTGAAATAGTTTTTATAACAAATGGAATTCGACCAATATGACAGTCGGAAGTATAGGAAAAGTGAAGAAGAAAGTAAATGACGCAAGGACGATATAACCAACGTGAAAGAATAAAAGATAGTATTTTTGATTCTTTTTGGTAATTTGAACAAAGAGGTCTCCTCCTATCGGACAAATTCGTAGGTTCTTTTAACAAAATAAGTAGGAAGTGGGATAGTAGAACGCCATTCGATAAAAATGGAATCCTCGTTTGTCGATTTATCGCAAAGAAGACGATAACACCACCACTTTTTCTTTCACCTCCGCCTTAAACCATCCAAAAACAAACTTATGCTCAATGTTGTACGAAAAAAAAAATCTGCCTCGTAAATATTATTTTAAAAATATATGAAGTCGAATAATATACGAAAATGAGATTAACAAAATCCATCAAATGAAGATAACAAAAAAAAAAACCATAAAAATTGAAATCAGATGATTTCATTACTTCGATTTAACACAACTAAGCTTTTATATTGAAATTAAAATTTGTGTTTTAGAGTTTTATGTTTTCTTTCTTTCGAATTCAATTATTTAATAAAAAGTATAAGAAAAACCTTTAGAAAAAATATGATTTTACGATAGTTCCCGAGGTCAACCAGCTTTACTACCACCACCAGCACCACTACTACACCACCAATCGTTCTCGATGTGACTCGTACGAAAAATAAGCATTTGTATTACATACATATACATATAAAGAAGGATGGGCATGCATTGCGTTCTACGTTACAAACTTACAAAGAGAAAGAGATAGAAAGATAGAAAGAGAGAGGGGGGGAGAGAGAGAGAGAGAGAGAAAGACAAAGCAAACAGACAAAGTACGAGTACACGTCCGATCAAAAGTTTGAAAGATAATATTTTTATTCCTTTTTATTTTTCATTTCTTCATTTTACCATTCAAACGACATAATAACAATATTAATAACAATATATTATGCCATTAATAATAATAATTATTATTATCTATCTAAACCAAACTTTTGACCAAATAACGTGTGTACATCTATACAGATACACGTGTGCGCGCGCATACACGCACAAAAATATGTAAGTACAAACCGTCGTGGTTATATATATACATATATATATTTTTTTTCGTTGTTTCTTAGTACAATCCCGTTGACGGGCAGGCACCGTAGAATGAGTCACGCTTGTCTCGTTCCCCGTTATTTTATTAATCGAGTAGTCGTCGAGGAGGCCGTACTCGAGTAGTAGCTCGATCGCAAAAGTAAGTAAGTACAAGCAAGTTTTTTGCACTTCGATCAATTACGTATACCGCAAAACGAAATGGAAAAACAATGAGAGAGAAAGACAGAAAAAAAAATATAGGTACAAGTTGGGAATTCATCATAATATACACACAACTTTAAAACTACCCTACCTGCCCTCGTACTAAACTAAATTGAAATTTTACACAAGCGACATCTGAAACAAAGTTGATGACGCTCGTAAAAAATTAAAGATGGTGGACGAATGATAGGAAAAACGTTTTTTTTTTTTTTTTTTTTTTTTTTTTTTTTTAACAGGCAACCGTGAGAATTAGGTTCGACGAGAGAAATTTTATAAGATACTTAGACGAGTTAGTATCTTATTAAATTAGAATCTCTCACAGTTACAATTAATATAAAGAGAATGAGTAGAGACAGCTAATTAAACTCGGTGTCGTCGGATTTACACGTTCAACGAGAGATCGACAATTCTGTTGAATCTAAAAATAATTAATGATACCTCTCTGGTATCTACACTCCTTTTCCAACCAGGCTTGAATCATTCCGCGTATCTATTTAAGTATCTACTACTCTGTTGCAGGAGAACGATCGTTTACTCTCCAGGAAAATTAGAATCAACGCAACGCGAATTGGTCTACCACCAATCCCCGCCATCATCGTTGAATACTATGTCATTTTCTTGACTTCTAATATTTTCAAGACGACAACAACAACGTATCGCATTCTTCCTTTAAAAGCTACGTGAGAAAATCCGCCAATGGGAAGAGTTGAAGAAGAAGAAGAAGAAGAAGAAGAAGGTGGAAGATCGTCGTACAATGTAAAAGCAAGGCGCCAGAGCAAGCAAGAAATTTTACGCTTGACTTGACGCCATCGTTCCACAACCTCTAAACTTCTCTCCTTTTCGTCCTTTCTCCTTCACAAATTCAACCAAACGATTCATCATTGATTCCACGATCAAATAAAAAACAAATCTACCGACAAATTTTCGTGTTTTCTTTTATCATAGAAATTTACTTACGAATAAGAAAAATCAAAGTTCATTGGCGAGGACGTTTCACATGGAAGAATCGTTTTTCTGGAGCATCCTAAAATAACAGGCTACTTGGTTTGAAGACGTTTCAGTCGGTAAGTCAACAACATCCAAAGAGATTATTTCACGAGTAGCAAGTAGATCTATTCTCAGTGAGACGAAGAATGTCGCGAGCAGCGTGATTGCCGTTCGTTGGGTTCCGCAAAAGATCGGTAACACAGCCGACATTGCGCCGAGTCGCAGGAGGACACTGCCCTGAAAAGTGACGACCTCTATTCCTACGCTTCGTCGTTGTTGATGTCCAACTGCGACTACGACTACGACTACGACGACAACGACAACGACAACGGCAACGATATTAAACCGGACGTATCGTTACGATCTTGCTACTATCCTAATCTTTTTCATCACAGATTGTGACAACAAATATTCTCCCTTGCATCATTGTATATCACAAGCAACAACTTAGCGAAACTTACAACAACAAACTATTATTTCAATCTGCCGAGCATGACAAAAAAAAAAGAAGAAAAAAAACTTCTTCGAGGAATACTTAAGATCGAAACTTTTTCTTCTTGCGTTAGAAGAGAAAGAGAGATGTGTCGCCTTGTTCTAGAAAATGTTGCATATAAAAGGATTAACGTAAATTCTTATTTATGGGTGTACAAATACATATTTTAATATGTCGTATGTCGAATAATAGTTCCTAGTCTATCTAAGGAATCTTTTCTCTGCAAGAAAGCAACAATTCGATCGATAATAAATGAACACCAGAGAAGGGGAAGATATATTTCAAAGTATACTCTCTACAGAAACGTCCTACTGGGTTCGAGTTTATATAGAAGAATATCTCTTTCTCTCTCTCATCTGGGCGTTGGAAATATTGATCGATCCAAGTTACATGGTCGAACGTCCTTAGAACAATTGGGCCAGAAACAGAGAAAAGGAAATAGAAACGAACAAATAGAAATTCTCATTAGAATGAACCTCATCAACAATATGCAAAATAGTCATAGTGATTGTTGCTGTTGTTGTTTTCGTTGTCATCATTATCATCATCATCGTCATCATAGACCAAGAATTCTACTCTCGCCATAAAAATGATCATAAAGATGAACCTATGTTTTTCTAAGCCAGCTATATCGGAATATTTGCGATTCTGACAGTACTTAGTCAGCAAAGCAAAGTTTTTTTTATCCGCATGCGCGTAAAGATGGACATTGAATGCACGTAGTTGTGTAGTTTCTATCGGCGCGTACAAAGCTGCGCGATCAAACAAAAAAGCTTACTTTTTTCTTTTTCTTTAATAACGACGACTATATAATATTTCCAAAGATTTATAAATTCAAATCTAAATGATTACGAATAGACATTGCATACAAGAAATGCATGCATAGAAGAAAATTTCTAAACAAGATGATTACAAATTGTAAATAATAATGAAATTCTTTGTACTTTATATATTTGTTGCGAAAGATGATGGGAATGAAATTTGTAAGGTATTTGGTGTTCCCGCCCGCGATTTAACGAAAACATGGCGGAGCCAATCAGAAAAGAGACATCTCGCGCGACCAGTTAGCGATTAAAGTGTCGCTTTAGCGCTAGCTCAACGTGCATAGCCCACGGTTTTCATCGAACGATGACGCGCGCTCAATGCTCATGAGCCCCGGAGTGCACGGAACCCGGCACATAAGTACACCGACGACACAACGGACAAATACAGCAACATACAGGACAAACAAACAAACAGACCGACAGACAGACAGGGAGTCAGTCAGTCAGTCAGATCATCCATATATAAGCAGCACACAGATACGCATCATCATTCAAAGATCGTGTCGAAACTTGCCGTTTAACTTGAACGTTATCGTAAAGGTGCGTCTACACCGAAACAAACATGGCTGATCGTAGATTTGATCCCCAACAGCCATTCTGATTGATCGGACGTCTTGAAAAATAAATCCTCTTTTAAAATTGTTCATTAATTTATTTCATGTCATTACGTTTAATTAACCCCATCATCATCATCATCATCATCATATTCCTATTATTTTGATTATTACTATTGTCATCTGATTTTGTTTTAGAATGGAAATGAAATAAAAAATATTATTTTCCTATACCGATACCCCCGAGGGTGTTTAACATATTCAAATTTGAAAATGTAATTATGCGGACATAAAATACAATGTTTAAAATGAATGTTTAAGGCATGCGCATGTATATACGTAAGCAGGCTAATTAAATATTAATAAGATTAAGAAACTTAAAGAAGATCCTGCGCAACTCTCTAGAGTCTAGACAGTCGCAGTCGATGAATACGAAAAAACATGGTGGCGAGAAGCTTCGTGATAATTACCTACGAAAAACTTCCCTTTGAGGATTAGGTTTATTTCCCTTACTTTCCTTTCCTTCTTTTTACTTTATTTCCTATTTTTTTTTTTCATCTTCTCCTTCTTTTTGTAATCGCAAAATAAATGTTTTTTCTTTTCTTTTTGTTTGCTAGATAATAATTAATCCTAAAGATATATATATATGTATATTTTTTTATCAAATATATAAAATTAATTGTACAATATTAATCTCTTGGATGAAATATTTTCTTTTTTTCTTTTTTCAATTTATGCTGATAACGATAGTAATTACGTGCAATAGATGGACGTATTTGTTTCTCGATATAACGGAAACAATGATAATAATAATAATGCATTAATAATAGTAATTTGAAGATGAAAAAAAAAATAAAAAAAACCTATTAACTTTGAAATAATTTAATTACAAATTAATTAAGTTATTAATAAAAATGTTTAATTTAAAATTTTGTGAATAATTGAATCATAAGTGAGTAAGTGAGTGAGAGAGAGTGAGAGAGAGAGAGAAGGGGGCGGGAAATTTAAAAAATATAATTAGAAAAAAAATATTATTATAATGATACTTAAATTAGTATATGTCCTATTTTCTTGCATAAAATTTGTTTTAAATGTCTAAAAACATGAAGTTATACAATCTTAGGCATTTTAAGATACAAAAGATCTTATGCAGTTACTAAAATTTTTCTCACCAGTATCAAAATTTCTAACCGAGACCTACAATTTTCTATCTCGGTTTGTTATACAATTATATATATATATATATTATTGTAATTAATGATTAAAAGAAATAATTCAATTAAATTAATTGACAAAGCGATGCATAAGGAACAAGCATATGCTACTTACAAATTTAGAAATAAAATCTAGACATCAAAGAATTTGAAGAGATTTTTATTTCATGCTCATCATCTCTTTCGATAGCCAAAGATTGCTTAATTCGTTTTATTGTTTACTCCAATTAAAATAATAATTGAATTAATTTAAAACCTATTTCGTATTGTAGCACGACCAGCAAAATTTTTTTATGTGTCATGTTACGCAGTGCAAAAATAAAAATGTCAGAAAGTCTGCGTATACATTAAAGGCTTATGATGATCAGAAATTATGTTAAGTCATAATTATGCGTTATAAGATGGCCCATTAAAGACTCAATGTCATCCTATAAATTCTTACCTAGCTTATCTAATCTATCTTAGATATCTTCGCAAAGAAATTTATGTATCTTATTATTGTCATCAAAGCAAAAGATGTCAACTTGGTTACAACAAATAATATTACAAGAGTAATGCTGATTCGACTAGAAGTTTTATACAAGTGTATTGTGCTAAGACCAATGAAATAAATCAGACTTTACTTTGATATCTTTAGAATGGATGTGTATAACTTTTGATGTTATATGTAAACAATAAAATTTCCTTTCATCAAGGCTTATCATAAAAAATGAAGTAAGAAAAGAAATAAAATAAAAACAATTAGCAAAAAAGAAATAAAAGTAATAATAAGAAAAATAAAATAAATTTAGGAGAAGATTCTCTTAACACCTAAAGGTTTTTATGCATGCAAAATTACGAAGTGAGACTCACCACCACCAGAGTTCCAACAATTTTCAGTCATCCCTGTTTATCCATCTGTAAAGTCGACACTGCATTATTACACTGATATCCATCTTGTTCGAGTAAGTCACAACACACAGTTGTCTTTGGTATAAAATTAAAACACTTTAAATACACTTTTTCACAAGCTTCTTAGAACAAACCAATGAGTTCTTGGTTCTATCAAAACTGATTACATAGTTACATCTTCGCACCATTTCCATTATGCATATTGATATTCTTATCAATGAATGATCAAATTGATTCAATTAGTAACTTAGGAAGAAATCAAGTTAACAATTTCTAGAAGTACACAAAGATCATCATAACCTTAAAATTATGTTTCACTATGAAACAAATATCAAAAGTGTACACTATGATTTACAAACTTAAACTTAAACATTTACAACCAATCAATCAAAATAATTCCAAAGTGACAGTATCTAACCAAAAAAGATATATAAAAAAAAGATATACAAATAGAATTGGAAAAATCCAAGAATCAGAACAATAAATAGAATGTTTAATTTAGAAGAAGAAGGTTATGGTATCTCAAAAATGAAACAAATCCCAAATCTGATTCAATGAAAGGATGACGATGACGATGACGATGACGATGACGATGACTATGACGATGATAAAGAGAACAAAAACTTATAATAGAAACAGGCTGTGTGTGGTGATGACGAAGACAACAACAAGAACGAGGACAAAAATGAAAAGGGAAAAAGGAAAAATTGTCGACGACGACTTTGTAGAAGGAGTGGTCGAACAAAGATGTCGAATTTACAACGACCCGTACCTGTTGTAAATGTAATCGTGAAACCTTGCCGCTTTTCTCGCTCCTTTATAAATGCAACTTCAAAATTCGTTGTCGAATATAAACGGATAAAAAAGAGAAAGAGAGAGAGAGAGGTTATGGAAGAATTTGATTGGCCTCTTATTTTCTCTTTCCTTTTTTTGTTCTCTTCTTTCTTCTATTCTTCTTAAACAAAATGTTTTCACTGGACAATTTTGAGGTTATGGCCGCAGTTAAAGATTACTCACGAATAGTAGTCAAACTTTTCTCTATCATTACAACGATTGTACGTTCAATTGGGCACACTTTAACGAGGATTTTTTGTAGAAAATTAATGCGATTGACGAGAGAGAGACTGATTATTAATTAATTCGTCAAGTCTGATATATAACTTTTGATGACTGTAGAAATAAACTCTCATGATAGGCGTAAATATGTACAGGGTAATAGAACGTGGAGGGTGGAGAGGGAAAATTTTCGATGTTTTTTCTCTCCTTCTCTTTTCTTTATCTCTCCCTCCCTCGCCCCTCTCTCTCTCTCTTTCTTTCTCTTTCCTCTTCTTCTTCTTCGCTCGATTCCTGGCTTCCTCCTAGAAACCCCCCTAACTCCCACGCCGACCAACTGTTTCTCCTCCTTTCTATTTTTCTCTCCCACTTCCGACGTTTTTTTTTTTTAAATTCGTTCAACACTACTAAGAAGGTTAAATAGTCTTTTTCTTCTACTTGATAAATGATCGTACTTGAAGTAAGCACGATATTTTTCTTTTAATGCACGTCACAACGCATAATGGTCACTTCTTCAGCTTTTCTTTCCTTCCTATGGTCTTTCTTATTCTTTTTTCTCCCCCTCTCTCTCTCTCTCTCTCGCTTTCTACCCGTTCGTTTCTCTTTCACGGCATAGTGCACTCCGCTTATCGGAAGAAAGGGGAAAAAGTCATCTGGAAGATGGCCGCCAACCGCCCGTCACCGATTTATCCCTTTCTCGCATGGCCACTCGAATGCGCGAACGAAGAAACGACGAGCCAACAAATAGCCAAGTTAAGGAACACGTCAAAAAAACGAACAACCAGCGTACGAACCAATGATGGAACTGTCGAATGAATTTACGTGAACGTATTTACTATTCTTACGTACGTATGAATAATAGTACGGAATAAAAGAAAAGTTGTCGTATGTTGTGTGTAGTACGTAAACGACGCCGTAGCTCCCGTACGCGCTGCGTACCGGCTGATTACTATGGAGCCGACGATGGGCGAAGGTAAAAGGACGAGAACGTCAAGAGCCGAACATGTATCTGTGTATCTGTAAGTGTAAACGCCATACCGAATGAGAGGGGAGACTGACAGAGAAGGAAACACATATACACACACACCAGAAACGAAAAAATCACCAGCGCACTCTCTATCCAACCTACTACGTATCGTAAAAACGACCTACTGTATTTTACTATTGTTATTATTACTACTATTACTATAATACTACAATTTACTACTACTATTTATTATTAATACTAATGTTATCACTAATACTGTTAGACTTTTATTTACAGAATGTCCAGTCGCAGGTATTAATCGACGAATGCTCTTTTTCCTCCTTTCGACTAATTTCGAGTTCACACGATAACGACAACATTCGACCAACTTAACACAACACGCCGGCTTTAAATCAAGGCGATTTTCTTTTGCACTCGCGCATGCATTTGCCGTGCAAAAGATCAGTGATGTCGCTTTGCTCGTTGCAGCCAGACTCTCTTTCTTTCTCTTTCTTTTCCTTCTTTTTTGCATTACCCCTCTTGTGGTCTCTTTCGTTTCTCCCACTACCTCCCTCCTTCTTTCTCGCTCGCTTGCTTGCTTGCTTCCTATCTTTTTAACAGCTTCGGCTATTATCGGTAAGCTACGATATGTTTATTCGGCACTTCGGCTGATCAACCAGTCTCACTACTTGCGCAGAAATCATTTCCTTTTTCTGACAGCTTTATCCCAAATTCACGACATACTAATTAAATAAATGTTTAATCTTCTTTATCATCATCATCACATCTTCGCTCTCTTTCAATTTTTTAATTACTTCGTTATATCATTTATAAATTCGAATATATTCTAATAAAATGTCACATTAATTGATCGAATTAGCTTATCAAATAGAATGATTATTTATAATGTTTAATCGCGTATATTAAATCGCGCGCCCGCATAATATGAAATTAGATCGTATATTTATGCCGTGAAGCGTATCGCCATTATATACCCGGCGTGAAACGATACCGATTTTATTCGATAGGTCGAATGATCAACGTTCGCCACCACGTGACGCTACGATCGAACGGGATTGGTAAGATTCGAGTTGAGCAGGTTATGCGTGCGCACTTTTCATAATCCTAAACGTAAGTATATACATATACACTTCTTATGTGTGTATATATATATATATATATACATATGCAAGTCGAGTGCATCGTGCTTCGATTACGCGAAAAACGCAACCTTACGGTCTCGTGTATTTAAGAGAGAGATCGGCCTTGAATGTTATCGTTGAATCGACCTGTATCGTTCCTGCCTTGTCATTTCTCGATACACGATATGCGTCAACTTGTACGGAAGAGTTTGGTTTTTAAACATTTGTTGATATTTATCATCAATTTAGGAGAATAGAAATACTATATATATACGTATACATAATATGTATAGTATTTAATAACAACAATTAATAATATAATAACTGTGGACAATAATATCTCGTCTAATTATTCTTATTATTTCGAAGTTACAAATGAATGATATGGTCGATATTAGAGAAAATCAATATTGATATTTTTTCTCGATGATAAAATAGGTTGCTTGGTAAGTAATTTTGTTTTTCACACGAAAATTGATACCTAATCTTTACCGTAAGCGTAATAATGCAATGCAAATAAGAACAAAAGGATGTGCTAAGTAAACGTTATTTACCAAATTTCCTTTAGGTAATTTCAATTTGAAAAATGCACCGCGTCTCTTGGTCATTCAGTTGAAGCAGATGACGACTAAATAAAAACAATGATGGATGGGTAATCGTCGTATAACAACGTGAAACATATCATTTAAAAAGCTTTGTAAATTGTAAATAATTATGAAAAAATCGTCATTAACTAATCATTTTGAAAGAACGAAATTACTTTTCAAGCAACCTAATACGTTTCAAACCATTACGAAATTGTTTTCTTATTATTAGATTACACTTATTGTGAAATATTTTTTTCCAGTGTCCAAAAAAGAAAAGAAAATCATTTTCAATTAATATGCATATGCATAAACATATATATATATATACATATATATATATGTATTACGCTTGGGAAAATCGAAAGTGTAGAGAGGCGTGTCACTTTATACTGATAACAGTGTAAACTAGTTTTACGTGCCAAAACAATGTATTCCAATATATTCATTGAATTCATGTTTTTTGATTGTATAATACATGAGGGGATTTAGATCGTATACGCATAAATAATAAGAAGAAGAGGAAGAAGAAAAAAAAAAGAAAAGAGAATAAAAAAAGGACAAAAAATGTAGAATGAGATAATCAACCGAGGTTGCGAAATAAAAGTGCATTAAAAGCACAAGTTCGAATTAGTTTTCTTGAAAAGAGCGGTAGAAGAGGTGGAGGTGGAGGTGGAGGAGGAGGAGGAGGAGAAAAAGAAGAAGGATTGTTGGAGGAGGTTGAGGAGGGAGGGAAGAAAGAGGGATTACGTTAGTCGTAGTTATCGACCAGCCCATAACGACCTTGAAACTGAACGACTTTTATATGCGCCAATGCGACTCTCACAAAATGTAAAGCATCTTGTTTGATGTAGAAGATATGTATGATCCATTCAATTTTCCAAATGTTCAAAACATTTGATTGTAGGAAAGAATGAAAAATGTTAGAAATATAAAAATACCGTTACGTCCAAGAATTATGCTTACCCATTTAATATTCTTGATTGTTTTTTGCATTCTTATTTTTTTGTTTGTGTTTCTCATACGATAAGAGAATTCTTGTGGTACGTTGAGAAACAAATCTAATCGTGTGTACGTGTTGGTTCATAGTAAGGCAAACATGATACTATCATAATGGTTGGTCGTCGTGTTAAATTTGTACACATATCGTAGTCATAGTTTTTCTCCTCTTTGTATAGAATTATATTTGTTTTTAAATAATTATTATTGTTTATAATTTAATGGGTTGAGATTAATCGAATATTTAATAAAAATGTTAATACGAAAAATAAATGATTTTCGTGTATAAATTCGTTCGAATAGAGGCTACGGTAAAGGATAAATGTTAAAAGCATGAGCTGTGCAAGTATGATGAACGCGATTAAAATTGGTAACGTAACCTATTTAACGCGATAAACTATAATATAAGATGGTATCATATTATTCATACCTTTCGATGTCAAGCCGATAGTATTATTAGAGTTGATTTTAACACTGTACGACGAATATATCATAATTTACAATAATAAACTATATACGCGTGTAACGGTAGCACGACTGTTGTAACACGGATTTGTAAAACAATACTCAGCTTTTATTTATCCGAACTTGTACGATGTGACGTCATGTTGCCTGTCGTAGACGATCATATTTTTTTTTTTTTAAAGTACTCTTCCATAATCGTATTTTGAAATATTTTTCAAACGCGGGAAATGCGAGCGTATTTTTGTTTTGATTTTTATTTCATTTTTCCTTTCGCTTCGATATAATATTTTTATTTGTTTCAAAAATCTTACTCGCGCGAACAAAGTTTAAAGAATCTATATTTATCTTTTAATTATTATTTAATGTACGAACAGAAAATATGATTTTATCTTTTTAAAAAAGTTCAATTTTTCTTTTTTATATTTTATTTGTTATCATGACGGCTAATTTATCTTCATTTGAATTCATTGACTCATTCATATATGTACACATACATTCAGATTTTATTGAAATCTATAAACAGATATAATTATCTCGAAAATAAGAAGATAGAGATATCGAGTAGTTTATAATTTATAAAAATGTAAAATTCTTTCGTAAGAGTATATAAATTAGAAATAAAGTTATTACAATAATGTTTCTTTACGTTTACAGAAAATATTATTAACATCGAAAAAAAAGGAATGGATAATTTTCATTTGCGTCATTAACTGCATAACTTTTATATTGTCGACAATACACTTTCTAAGATTAAATATGATATTAACTAATAATTTTTATATTATTATTATTATTATTATTCTAAAATTATTAAATCAATAGCATTTTATAATAAATATGTCAATACACAATGTTATCAAAAGTTGTAATATCTATACGTTTCTTTTATTTTTAATACAACTATTCTTATTTAATTAAAAACATATTAAAGATGTTTCTTCATTTTTGTTTATTTGTTATTGAATTCGAAATAAAATAATTTTTGTTGAATAAAATCAAATATTCTAAATATATCATTGCGCTAGAATAAATATTCAACAATTCCTTTAACGGATACATCAATGTAAAAAATGATATTTATCAGATAATTATTTATATAATATCAAGTGTATTGATATTTATTTAATTTTTTTTTCTTTTCAAAGTGAAAAAAAGATAGTTACAATTATTTGTAATGCAGAAATAAAGTAACTACTAGAATATTCATAATGAGCAATTATTTTTTTATGATTCAATAATCGTATACAATTTTTTTATTTAAACGAAGATTAAAAGATCGATAATAATAATTATTTATATACGTGTGTTTGCGTGTGTGTCTGTCACCGTCTTACTTGTTACAAACAAGTATATATATATATATATATATAGCACTATTTATGAGAATTCTTTTTTACATTAAGCAGCGTATAAACAACTGCTTTACATTTAACACGTTGATTATCGCTAGATCGTAGATTAAGGGTGTTTCTTCTAAAGATTAAAATTCGCATATGCAATTTATGCACTATATGTTAACCCTCTTCACTTCATGTCTTTCGCGAAATATTTCGAGTTGCAACCCAGGATTTGGGTTAAGTGGCGATATCAACGTGTTAATGTTTCCTATATATAAAGATCATAGAGTATACACGTAAACTACATTTATATTCGATTAATATTAATTTCAAAATAAATAAATTAAAAAATACTTAAGGATCACAATGGGTTTTACGTTATTTAAATATAAATGTAAGTTTTAAAATAATCTATTCACATATATATATATATATATATATATATATATATATATATATATATATATATATATATATATATATATATATATATATCTCTTATAACTTAGCTTATTTACTTAAAATAAACATCACAATTATTCAGTAGTGTTTTCGATTGAAATATAAAAGGAAAAATAAAATATTTTTTCTTTCTTTTCTTCTTTGTTTGTTTGTTTGTTTTGACAAAATAAAATCGAAAACGATATATTATAACACGATAATATATATATATATTATAACACGATAATATATATATATATATATATATAAATATTTCAATCGATGGATTAATATTACATCTTGTAAAAAATGAATATTTTTCGAACGAATATATCTAAAAACTCGTCTCTCACGTTTTATATACAAAATATAACGATACAGGTACTTTTCAAGTGAGATTTATATATAAATCAAAAAGGATGTATTTAACAATGAATCTAAGTATTTTATATTTACTTTCTACGTTTGAAGAAGTTAAATTTATATCATACATAAACAAATGTACATAATAAAGTTTATGGTTTGTTTTTTTTTTTATTTTCTTTACTGCGAGCTAATATTACGAAAAAAAAAAAAAAAAAAACATGTACCTACGGTGTAAGTTATACATGCTACCGGAAAAAGTTTATGATCAGAAATACGTCTACACTTTTATATACTAAAGCATTTCCTTATTTTTTTTCTTTCTTTCTTTTTTTTTTTATAAACATTACGTCCATTGTTACTAAAAATGTAATGATTCGAGTATGCGTTCTGTACACGAATAATGATTTTTGAGCACGTATGTATATATGCATGTATATGTACGTATATTCGTTGAATTAACTTTTTATGTATAACCGAGAAAACAAAAAAAATTGTTTCTGTGATAATATAATCAAAGTTTGATATCTATCACAGTACTTACTGAATTTTCCAGATTCCTCGAAGAAATAGTCTGTCGTCATTCTTAGAATGCTTCTGGTCTTATAAATCAGATTTAAAAAATTATTATTTTTAACCATAAAGTAATGTTAAGGTTTCTTCTATCAATCTACGGTTGCTACTACTACGTCCGTATTATTAGCTTCAATAGTTAAATCTTCATTGTCAGTTGGCGTTTTTTCGATAGTATTTGAAAGAGTTGTTTGATGAATATTCGAAGCTTGATTATCAGTCTTCATTTCATCTATTGTTTGTGCTGTCGTTAACGTACTCCACCAGTTAGAAAAAGCTCCTTTAGCTTGCGAAATCGCACCACCTTGCATTACAAACAAAATATTGAATATTTTATTGAAATAATATTGTTGGTTAGGAAGTTTTATCTTACCTACTGCTTTTCCAGTAGTCGCGACCGCTCTTCCCGTTGAAAGCATTGCTTGATTGAGTTTCCTACCACTTTCAGTATTTTGCATAGTACTATTATGAAAGAGTAACATTTAAATGATTAATATCAAATTAATGTAACATTGCATTTATTTGATTAACTTACTGCGAGAAACGTAATTTCATATCTTGAACGGATAATTGACCAGCGAAAGGATGACCAGGTTCAATATTATTGATTTCCGGTTTATTCAAGCTACTCCATATTTTGTAATTATTTGTCATACGCCAAGCAGCCATGAACGTAGAATTAAAGTGATCTGACTGTCGCGTATCTTGCTGCATCGATGTACGCAGCATACTTAAAAGATACACTCGAAATTGGGTTCTAATCCATTCATCTCCACCTTCCCATCCAACTCCATCCAAGAAAATATCTTTTCGAGGTTCTGATACATGTCTAACTATGTAATCTGCAAATCTTAGATCCTCAGTAGTGAGATGTAATTGTCTTCTCAATTCTGGATCAGTAGCTTCTATTCTTGTGTTTTCAACCTTCCATAAATAATACAAAATAAAATCGCACGTGTTTTTGGATTTATCACTGAATTATGACATTCAACTAAAATATTTATAGTATTATATATTTCGTAAGAAATATTCTGAGCACGTTTTATACCTTCTTACCTAAAGTCCAATAATAATATCGAACGGTTAATTAAACAAATGATTTGTTTCGACTCACCTCAATTAAAACATCGATCAATTGTTTTTTTTGTTTAAATAAAACGTTCGTCGCTCCAACTACGTATCCTCTAACATTAATATCTCCTAAGAGATCTAAATATGGTAAAGATAAATATGGTAGACAAAGGTATCCCTTGAAAATAAACAAATGAATTTCATTAGAAATTATTTTACGGCTTTAATTGACTTGTTAAACACAAATGGTTATATGTACCTTTGTAAATAAACTCAATGGCATTCCACATTGTTCCGGATTTATATGCGCTATTTGAGTTATATTGTTGGTCAATCTTGCATCAGATAATGCATCATTGCTCGTATCACGTGGCAAACTATTATCGGCATCACCCATGCCTAAAGTAATCGTATTAACACTATGAACTCTGTGTACATTGTCATTTCCTTTTGGCGAATACTTAGAATTATTTTCTTCATAACTTTCAGTACACTCTTGTGCTGATTCTACTACATCGATTATTTTTTCATTTAAATTTTCGTTATTATTTTTTTGTATGGTCATATTACCAAACTCGTCCAGACATTTTCCTTCCATAGTTTCAATAGTTTTATTATCATTTATACATAAGGAATTTCTATTAGAGTTATCATTAATATGAGTAAGATCTGATATGTTTTCCTTTAGAATATTTGTGGTAGTTAAATTAGAATCGATACTATTTAATGCAATTTCTTCATCATCAAAAGTTGGTATGGGAGACATAGGTCTGGATGGTCTATTAGAACAAGAAAAATTATAATACAAGTACAAACTGTATAGCAAATCTATAAATTCATTTAAAATACCTGACACAAGCTGCTTGTTGAAGACCATGTTCGATCATACCGGGATATAATGAAAGTAAAGTTAATATTGTGGCACATAATGGCTGTACAGGTGATTGATAAAAGACTACTCTTTTTTCCAGTAAAAGTAATTTAAATAAAAGTAGTACTTTATGGCGAAATTGTAATATAAAATCTCTGGCGGATAAACCTACAAATAATATTATCATTGAAATATATAAATGTACAATTTAGCTAATACGAAAATACATTTACAATAGATAGTTACCAACAAATACTTGAGGCGGTATTTGACTTTCGCCACTCATACATGAATTAAGATGACGATAAGTGTCTTCTAATAACGACACTTTACTAAAATCTCCTTCCTCGAAATATGCATGTGTTATCAATGCCATTTTCACTTGAATATGACCATAAAGTGGCAAAGTACTTAACACGCAAACTGACTTTTGTACTGTTCCTCTAGTTATATCTGAAGTTCGATTCTTTAATTTCTGTGAACATATTTAATTATATTCTATTCATAGTTCTCATATTAGATATTAGATTTAGATTTTAGATTATAATTACCTCTACAGGAATTTGTCTAAAACAAGAAATACCATAAATGGTACGTTTAGGATCATTGAGACTAGGCAAATGAAAATAAACAGTATCTTCATCATAATTATGAGATCCATCAGGTAATGCTAGAGTTGGTAAGTACTTCCAACCGAGTGGACACTCATTTGGTGCACCTGGTACCAACGGTGGAAAAGAGTATTCGACCTATGCGTTTAAAAATTATTAAAAAAACACCTCAATAAACAATGAATGTGTGTGTGTACATATAATTTACATAGATTTTAATTTATAATTTTCAAACCGAACAACATTAACTTTACCACTATAATTATCGTTAAATAACATCGTTTATATTAACAAGGAATATGCTTATAAATAAACGAGTTGAAAATTATCAATAAGGTTTTTTAAAACCTATCAAATAAAGGTTATTCATTTTGACAGAAGAGATCCGCTTACTTGACATCCTTTTTTATGATGAAATCCAACGACTATGACATGAAGGATCGGTCCAGCTGATTCAGCCATACTTTTCATATAATTTCAGACGAATAGAAATCTTTTGAATTTATATTGAAGAGATATTTATCGTTGCAACGAATTTCTATTTTTCATTTCAAAATTGTTAAAACACCCTTTCGTACGACGGGTGACCGAGGAACCGATAGCAGACACACGATTTGACATGCGCCATGATATACTAGAATATGTCTAGCATGATTTCTATACAATCAAATGTTGCCAACATTATACATTTAAACTTATCTAACAAGGAGACGGTGCGATCGTCCCCCCTCCAATTTTTTTGAAATTGGCACACTTGTAATAGTTCATGATATTTGTTTACTAAATAAACATAGTTTTTTTTTGTTATTACATATACAAAGATATCGCAGACAATATTATTGAGGAACAATAAATGATAATCAATTAGTTTTCTTTTTTTTTAATTTAATTTTTAAACAATTGCATCTCATGTTATTTCATAAATATATTTCAATATACTTATGAATTATTTACAAATATTATTAGGGAGGGTAATAATATATAGAAATTCGATGTTGAACAATTATCGTTAAATTATTTTATATATAATCATTTTACAATTACAATCTGATACTTATGTAAACAATATTTAAGATAATATTACTTTGTCGTTTAACATAAGAATGTTTATTTTACATCTAAATACAGCTATCTATAGAAATAACTACGAAAATAATACGTAGGTAACTTTTACTGTTATAGGTCAATTATGATATTTAAGAATTATTACAAGGTTTGAGAGTAAAATATAATTTGATAGCATGCTAAACTTTCTATCTTTTCTTTTTATTTTTTTTTATTTTCATCTAGCATATATATATATATATGTCAGAATTATTCAATTTAATTTGAATTTTTATATTTTCTCTCTTGTTACTTTTTCTTGAGTCTTTTTAAAAATCTTTTCTTTGCTTCCCGTTTGTTTTTTTTTCTTATTTCTTTCCAAATAGTAATCCTTAAAATATAGCAAACATTAACAAATCATAATATTAATTTCCCATAATGATTATTATCACTGTTACAAGTTACGCGTCTTCACCGATAGAATATAATCTTGGGGATCGACTTGCGCGATCTCTATGTAATGACCTGCAGGGCACAGCTCTCGATGTGTTACGCTTAAGACCAATAGAGTTAAATTCTTGCAGTTGGTCAGGAACACAAAGCTGTTCTCTGCTGTCGGCCTCATAGCCGCCTCTCTTTCCCATGCCAAGAAGAAGGAAGGAGAGTAAAAAGATGGGTGATAAGGGTTGATCCCTGGAAGACATGCTACCTGCGTACATTAAATCCCTGAGTTCCATCTGGACCGATAGGCATACGAGTGACATTATTAGGAAGAGAACTACTTCCTCCCGGTATTGAAAACTTTGGTTGAATTTTATTTATTTCTTGAATTAATTTTTCCTCGGGACTTTTTTCTTCTCCTAATATTCTTTTTCTTGCTTCCGCATACTCTTGTTCCCTCTAATTAGTTCAATTATATTTACATTAATCTTTTCTACGAGTGGATATATATTTTCATTTGTATACATACCTGTTTCAATGATTTTATTGGTTGTTTCGGTTTTTCTTCATTTAACATAGGACCATCCCCGCTACCCTGAGAATCTCTTGTTGGTCTTTTCAATATTTTAACTGTAGGCTTTGGTGGTACATACTGAGATCTTACTCCATCATCGCCCAAAATAATCATTCTTGTATTATTGGTATTATCATTGGTAGTAGTCTTGAAACTGAAATATAACGTTTATATTTACATGAAATATAATTAATATTACATCTATTTGAACTGATTTATCAATCTTACTTAGGAGCTTCTATTTCTTCTATTGCTTCTACAGTATCCAACTGAAGAACATCCAATTTTTTTTCAAGAACCTACAATATTATATAATCATATTTATATTTACAAATATCATATAATTATAATATAAAAAAACATGTATGATGTTTCATAAGATATAAAATATATATGTTGATATTTACTTAACATATGTTTATTCCCTAACATTTGATTCGTATTACCGTAGCAATAAAACTGACTAGAAATGTGAAAGTATATTGATAAATTATCTTTCCAATTTCATTCCATATTTATCAAACATTTGTATAAATCATATCAGAACAATAATAAAATATGAAAAAACAATGATATAAATTTATACAAATATATATATATATATAAATTTGATATTGTAAATATAATACATGAAGATAATTAATTTAATGATCACAATAAGTGCGCATCACAATGGTTACAGCAACGAGATATTCTCACTTGAAAGATTTCATGTGTAAAATAGGTTAACATGATAACTTAAACATCGTTAATTAGATAGAAAATATTATTATATAGACATTTTAATAATAAACCTACCCCTGGATCATCTATATCTTCCCAACTTTCTAAAACATCATCTACTGCTGACATCTCACAAATATTTAAGTATTAATTTTTGACTTTCACAAGTCAAACCCAAGATATCCGAGATAGCACGAACAGAGCTCGAACCTTTCAAGGAAGTAGAGGGTGTTGGAAAGTTCGTCTTTTTTTGTTAGTACGAAATATTATAGTGGTATTTTATATCAGATTAGCCACCCAAAGATGTTCAATCTTTCCTAGATGAACGTTTCTATTTGAAACATTTTCTTATTCAATAGACTATTTTTATCATCAACTTTGTAATATTTTTTCTAATGTATATATATATACAATATTTAAATGGACTAGCTGCCATTTGTCGAAATTGACCAAATTTATTTTTAACTATCATACAAAATAATTACTTTAAATTTATTTCTTATTATTTATAAAACGAATTATTATTAATTTTTATTTTTTTTTACAGTTCAATTAATAAATATATTAAGAAATTTTAATTCTTTTGAAAATTTCGCTTTAGCTCAAAAATATCTTCAATTTTCATGTAGAAATTATCCCCATCATCGAACATTATCGTTGGTTTTAGATTGGAATATTTATTAAATGATTAACAATTAATATCCTTGAACGAATTTGTTTACAAATAATTTTTTTTTGTCAACATTAATAATATCAATTGTTTTCAGACATATAAATTGAAAAATGTTTCATTTTATTTACCGACTGTTTTTGTGTCTTACCTCCCGCATATTTTTAATTTCAAAATTTGACAGTAGATATCGCTGCAGTAGCATTTGTATATTGTATATCAGCTGTCATTATATTTGATTGGTAAAATATAGTAGTTTATTATATTTTGTGATTAATTTATATTGTAAAATAATGTGATATTTGATATAATTATTTAAAGTTACGAATATAGATAATGTTTAATGAAAAAGTTATTTATATAAGTGATAAGATAATTTTATCTTCTAGTAATGTCACTCGTTTATCACCAATGAATTTTGTACATTTTCTAATTTACTAAATTTATATACACCAATGCATTGTACAGAAACAATTAATAATTATTGCTGTTTTTAGTAATGTTAAATATTCATTCAAATTTTAATTATAATTAATTTTGCGTGTAACACATTTCAATCAAGATATTAAAGTAGTGTATATAAATGAACAGAGAGCACAATGGAATTAGAATGGTTTGTATTTGCTAATAAATTTATCAAATCTTTTTATTTTACATTAAATTTCATTATTTTACAATTAAATTTGTCATATATTTATTGTAGGGTAGCAAAACCAGTGGATTATGGATCTGTAAAATATGCTCGACTAGAAGAAGTAACTGAACATCCTCTAAAACCAGTTACAGTTACTGTAAGATATTTAAATAATAAATGTATTATTATAACAACATTTTTATAAAATTAACTTGTTATAGTTAATCAATGGACGTAGTGGAGTCAGAAGAAATGTATTACGAAGTACAAGCACTGGTTCTTCAACAGGAACCCCAACACCAACTCATACACCTTTACCAACAAATTTGTCTATGGATCCATTAATGAGCCATTCTACTTTGGATGGTTCTGATCCACTAACCCAATTTGCACGAGAAGAGTTAGATCCTTTATCTAAAATGGCTGCGGATGAGGTAATTTGTATGATAATTTTTTTTATAAAAATCATAGAAAGATTTAATTAATTAATTTTTCATTGCAGTGGGATTACTCTTGCGTTACAGCAATTCCTGGTAAAAAGCCTAGAGATACTACGGATGAATTAGTCGAGCCATGGTTGGCTAGACGCAATGCTATTTTAAGTAAATATACTACATCGGAAAAATTATCGATCGTTACTAGTTTTTTGTCAGGAGGAGAGAAAGGTATACATTTATCATTCATCTTATAACTTGTATCAGATTTTTTAATATTACGGTATTTACAATTGAATTATTGTAGTTCTGGTCAAAGTACAACCAAGTGGAACAATGGTTGATAAAGTACGAACAAGATTAGAACAACTGGATGATTTTGAAGAAGGATCAGTTAGACAAATGTTAGATTTGTCGCAGCAAGAGTACACTGCTAGGATCGAACAATTAAATAATGAATTAGTACAAGCATGGCATTCCGATCAAAGGGTTAAAGCATTGAAAATTGCGATTCAAGTATGATTTTTTTTTTTTAGATATTATTTTCATGAAAATTATACCGTAAGATTAAAATTAAATCTGATTTTTTTTCAGTGTGCTAAATTATTAGTGGATACATCTGTAATGGCTTTTTATCCTAGCAAATTTGTATTGATCACAGATATTTTAGATATTTTTGGCAAACTTGTTTATGAAAGATTGAAAGTCAAAGCTGAATATTTCAAGTTAGTTTTACTATTGATTCTATTTTGTTAGAATTAAAAATTCACTTTATCGTATATTTTAATTATAATTTTATAGACCAGGGAGTAAAGTACCTACAAGCCTGCCCGATAATTTTACGCCAAGTATGGTACCGGAAAATGCAAAGGAAACGTGTCGAAACTGGTTTTATAAAATAGCATCAATAAGAGAATTAGTTCCAAGACTTTACGTAGAAATGGCAATAATAAAATCTTATAGTTTTTTAACAACGAGGTAAAATAATTGACTAATATTAATTATAATAATCATTTGAAGTAATGTGATATTAAAATCAGCTATTCCTTGCTTTCAGTGAATTTCATACAGCTCTGTTACGCATAACTCGAATGATAAGAGGAATTGGGAATCCCTTGATAGCTGTTTACGCTAGATGTTACTTGTGCAGAGTTGGACTTGCATTAAACAAAACCTCAGATTTCGAATTTGCAAAAGAAAATCTTTACGATTTTCTTTTTACATATCATCAATTGTTTGGACAATCAGTAAAGCTCGAGTTAGCTAAACAAAATATGTCTTTGCATTCATATTTAAATCTTTATCTACCTGCATTAGATTGGATTTTACAAGTCCTGGTAGCAACAGCTTCGGATAGCCTTTTAGAGGAAGTTCTTTCTCGATGCAAACAACAGACCAAAAGGTATTTCATTTATTTGATGCATTTATAAGTATCCTATGTGAAATCTATTTAATAATTTGTTTCTCTATTGTTTCTGGTTTGTTTTAGTTCCTTATTGCTAAACTCTATATTGACAGCATTCAAACCAGTGTACATCGCTGTGCGTGCTATGGATTTTGTTAATTTAATAGCAGAAAGTGAAGATGATGGTAATGAGCGAGATAAATTACACCATTTCAAGTAATGTAAATAGACTATTATTTTTTCACTAAATAGATATTGTATTAATCTTGTTTTTTTTTTCATTTCATTATCCAATAGGATATCCACAGCATTTATTATACAGAAGTTTAGGTGAGTGTCTCGTAAAAGAATCTCCACCGAAAGAGGACTGTCAAGCTGTACTCCAAGTAATATGGAAATATATCAGCGAACTCAAAGATCCTACCAAATTTATGCATTGCATTGAAATTTGGATACAATTCACAGTTCTCCACTTTTCTGTAAGTCATACAATTTTTTCTTAATGTACAATTAAATATATATGATATAATTTATATATTATATTTAAGGTCAACGAATTGAATATGTTTCTCGGACAAATAATCGATCGTCTTAGTCCAAATAGAATCTTCGAGCATTATTATTCGCAATTGCAAACAGTTGTTGAAAAAATAGTTGCTTATACGCAAGATTTTGAATCCTTACTGGCTATGGTAAATCAAATATTTTCTTCTATACATCCAATTTTATTATAAAACTCACACTAAAATTAATATTTTAATTTTAGGATAATTTCTTGCCATTGATAGATTTGTTCCACAAAGAAAGTATTAGAGTCGAAGTTTGTAAAACCATCATAGAAGGTTTAAGCAATCAGAACAGTCCTATTACAGATCCAATTATTATAAATGCTCTGATGTTTATCGCTAGAATAATGCACGATTCTGTTAGGTATGTATTATTTCTTATAAACAACGTACCATTTGTTATTTATATTTCTTGTGTGTATTTAATTAATGATTGCAGTGCTTTGACCGTCGAAGATGAAAAACGTCAAATAGGACAATTAATTTGTGGTTTAGTGCAACGAGTTGATTATGGTAGGGATTTCGAAAAACAACTTAACTTTTATGTCGAAGCTAGAGCAGCTTTTCCTAATTTGGATAGCGTTCATATTCAACTCATACAGGTGAAGAACAAAATATTTTATAATTTGTATTGAAAATAATTCAAGTATATTTATAATAATTTTGGATTTTTAGTGTGTTAATAGATTAGCTGTGGATACAAGGAAAATAATACGTGGACATCATACTAGAAGGACTTCAGCTTTCGTACGTGCATGTGCAGCATTTTGTTTCATAACCATTCCGTCGTTAACTTTAGTACATACTCGTTTACAATTATACTTGTTGTCAGGACAAGTAGCACTTTTGAACCAATGTTTGGGTCAAGGTAAAATAAAGTTTTCTTTTAAAATCCTATTTTTTCAATTTTTAAAATATACATATTTTGTTTTTTCTTTTATTAGCCGATGCTTGTTTCAAAGCAGCGTTAAGCTTGGTTCCGGAGATGCCTAAAACGATAGACATTGATGGGAGACAAAAAAATTCACAACCATATCTGTTGTCATATCTATCCAATTTCCTGTCCACTTTATTGGTCGTTCCGGTTAGTATTTATTGATTATTATTATTATTATTATTATTATTATTATTATTATTTGCAGTTAAGTTTTGAGATAAAAAGCAAATATTTTTAATACAATAGGACAGTCCAGAACATGGTGTTTTATATTTAATGAGAGGATTGCTCAATGCTGTTCAACGTTGTTGCGACGAAACTACCTCAACTAAAGCATACTTATATTTACGTGTACTTGATCTTCTTTCAACTGTAACACAAGAGAATTATCCCTATCATATAGACAAGGTAATTTCTAGTTTTTCCATATAAGATCTCTTTTTTTTTTTAAACATATTTATATAGAGATAGATTGATTATTTTTTATAGGTTGATTCCAATGATAAACTTTATGGATCTGATCAAAAGTTTCTCGGAGAAGTCAACAAAATATGTTCGAAAATAATGGAAGAAATTTTGAATCATTTGAAATACCTCGGATCTAATGATCAATTGGATAAACAATCTATTCTCGCGTTAGAACTTTTCAATCGTTTAATTATAAGAGCAGATTTACGTCAACCTGCTTTAGCAAATATTGCTGTCAATCTGTGGAATTTATCTCAACGGCATGGTTCCGTTGATTCTAAAGTTAAGGTATTTTAATTTTTCATTTCTTAATTTCAAATATTATAGACTTATGTTAGATATTGAAACTAATTTTTTTTTTTTTTTTTTAGATAAAAACTATAGCATATATGATGCAAAAAATGCATTGCCAGGAATACGAACATTTCGTTTTTTTTTTTTTTTTTTTAGATAAAAACTATAGCATATATGATGCAAAAAATGCATTGCCAGGAATACGAACATTTCGCCGAGATTCTCAAAAAAATGAATAAATAAATAGATAAGTAATAAAGTAATTTTTGTTTTGATCTAATTGCTATTTCCTTAGAATATTAAAAATTCCAACGTTGAGCTAAAAATGAAAGATAGCGGTAGGTTTTTTGTTATTTGCTTAACAGAATTTATTGGCAGTTATTTTGGAAGACATGTTGCTGTTACGCGATAGCTTTTTTTTTTTGGAGAATTTTTTACATATTTAAATTAAAGAAAATGCATAATTTAAATTCAAATAATTATTCGAACTAAGTAAGTTAAGAACGTATTATTAACTATATAATATAAGTTAACTTTAAGCGATACAGCCAAATAATATTACGAAATATATATATATAAAGTTAAAATTACAGGAACAAATGTTTTGTACTATCGTATATTAAAAATTGTTATTAAAATGAATTGTTTGAACTTGAATGTTTGATAAGAAAGTACAATTTTTTATCAATTCTATGAAAAATAATAAAACAAATATACAAATGTAATAAGAATATATTGCAAATATAAATACGAGTAACAAAAAACAAATAATAATAAGAAAAATTTTGAATAATAAGATTCCAATACGTTAAAACGTTAAGTGCAATAATAAATAATTGTAATAAACTTTTGACCAATACTGATTATATCCGATCAAATTAATTCCTGATATTATCATTATTATTATTATTATTATTATTAATATCGATAATAATTAAATACGATAATAAAACTGCCATAGAAAAATATTTCGATTATCCAACAATAAACTTCGTAGAAGTTTTCTTTTTAACAAATTATTGAAAAATAATATTTAACTATAATTTATGGAAGACGTGTGATTTTTAAACGCGAATTTAAAGATAAATTCGCATAAGATTCTTAAGCTTTTAAAACTGAACGTAAACCGTCCAAAAATATATCAGCATGATGTTCCGTGAATGTTAATGCTGGTCTTAATCTTACAGCTTTGGCACCACATCCACCTGTTTGTATACCTGTTTACAATGGAAAAATATATTTCAGATAGAGACAGAAGATAATAATTATTATTATTATTAAAAAATTTTAATGGAAACACTTTTTTGGTTTTTGTTACCTTTAGATAATAATCTTTTGATAAGAGCGTCGCGACTTTCAGACGTTTTACAATCAAAAGCTATAAATGTTCCACGACCACGAACGGAATTGATTATCGTAGAATTTTCATTTTGTAGAGTTTTCAATTCCTTCAACAAGTAATTGCCTACTCGATTGGCTTGATTCAAAAGATCCTCTTTTATTATGGTGTCTAATACTACTTCAAGTAATATCAATTTACTTGGGTCACCCATCCACGTGTTGAACACACGATAGGATTGTTTCGGTCTGCGTGATAAAAAATAAAAACAAAAAATTATCAATTACAAATTAGGATAATTGAAAATAATGATTTTCCTACTTCAAATCTTCCCGATGAAAATAGCCACCCAATTGCATCTTCTTACTGAAGGTCACCAAATCTGGTGGAGTATCTAAATTGAAGTGTTCGTAACACCACATTTTCCCGGTTGGCCCACCACCGGTTTGCACTTCGTCAATGAGCAGAGCTATTCCATGCTAATAAAAAATAAAAAACATATTAAATTGATGATAAAACATGAAGCAATTAATTGTAATGTGATTAGGATGAAATAAATGGTTACTTTAGATGTAATACGACGAAGTTCTTGAAAGAATTCAGGAGACGCATGATTGTCACCACCTTCCGATTGAATTGGTTCGATTATGACACCGGCTACAGGTATTTTCTTTTCAGTCTTGTATTTTTCGATCAATTCTTCGACCTACCATTGACAAAAAATAATTAATAAAAATGTAATTTTTAATTGGTAAGAAAAAAATATCGAAAATGTCGATACCTCGGCCAAACAACGTTTGTCTTCTTCTTTATTTTCGCGAATATTTTCTTCTAGAGGATATTTGTACTCAGGAAACGAAGCTATTGGCCAATCAAATGCTGGTATATCCATCTTGTGTATATATTTACTGTGCGTCGTTGATAACGAGCCTAAAGTTCTGCCATGGAATGCACCTACAAAATATTTGCTTTGATATTTGATAATTTTGCAAGAAATTGTTTCTTCTTTTTTTTCTGTATACCTTTGAAAGACATGATTGAATATTTAGGAGAACCAGGTGATAAATTCATCATACAAGATTCCATTTCTTCTTTGGTAAATGGTGCACCTTTACGTTCTTTTTCTGCATACCACATGAAAATATTTTTGAAAGCATTCTCGTTTGAACAGGAACCACACATCATTGTGGTAATTTGCGTTAATCCTGGGGGAGCGACCTACATGTACAAATCTTTGTTTTATTTTATTTGTATGTTCATTAATTAATTAACACATTAATCGTTTACCTCTTTCCTAAGAAAAATCTTTTTCAATCTGCTAGGCCATTCTTTTCCTGGAAATACACCTAACGCCGGTCTGTTAACTATGACTTTCTACAACAAATTATTTACAAATTTTTATTCCAATAAATTTCCAACAATTTGATTATTTTTTATTTTTTTATTTACTTGATTCATCGGATCGGCGATAGCATTCAACATGGCTGGATGATTGTAGCCTAAAGGTATCGACGAAATTTGCATATAAACGTCCAATAATGTGTTACCATCTACGTCAGCTATGAAATTGCCAGAAGATTTATTATAATCAGCAAAAAATTGGACCGAGGACGCTTGCTGCCAAAAAAACAAATTTCATATCGAAATTACTTTGTCAGTTTTATTATTATTATTATTATTATTATTATTATTATTATTATTATTATTATTATTATTATTTTACTTTTTAAATGAAAGATAAAAAAGGAGATTTAATATACAAATTTTATAATTAATTTGCTTAAAGATCATTTGTTTAAAATACCTGTATCGAATTTAATTCCTGAAGCAAACTTCGGGAACGTGGTCCAGGTATTTCTGTTATAACTACCGGTTCTTTTGGTTCTTTCAATGCAGATCCAGTCAAACATCTTTTCCAATGGATCCTCTGGCCTGTAATAATAATAAAAAAAAAAAAATAATAAAAAAAATCCTCTTCAACAACCATTTCCAAAAATATACCAGGGTAATAATAATTTTAATATAAAAATATGAAAAATATTTCAATTGCCGTATCATTAAAATCAAATTTTATTTTCTTATGTATGGAATCCAAAAAAAAAAAAAAACTCGATGAGATACAATATCACACGTAAATATTATTCAGTGAGATGGAGGACTCAGGTCGATTTTAATCACATCATTCGAGAGCATTTGTTCGACCGACCAAAACGATTACTTTTATTAATGCCAGTTAAAATCAATTGCTTCAACTATCTAAGCATTATAGCTTTTATACTATATGTTTTATATTTATATATATATATATACATATATAATAAGGTTTTTTATATTTATTTATAATTTATTATTTAGGTTATTTATATATATATATATATATATTAGAGTGAGTCAAAAACATGACTTTTTTTTTTTCAAGTGCCACTGAAAAATGGGTTGCTAGACACCTTAAAACAACTCTCACCAAATATGAGCTCTTAATTTTAATAGCAAGATCCTCCACATGGCAGTTTTTTCTTTTTTTTTTTCAGCCTAATAGATTAAAATTCATACCTCATTATTTATTGATTGTACAGAAAAATGTTTTAGACGAATTTTGTAGGAAATTAACTGCTCTATAAAAATGGTGTCTTATGTTTTGGCGATTAAATTAAGCGTTCAAAAGATATTCATCATCAAACTTTCATGTGTACTGATTTTTGTCTCTGAATATCTTTTGAACGCTTAATTTAATCGTCAAAACATAAGACACCATTTTTATAGAGCACTTAATTTCCTACAAAAATTTGGATTGCGCATCTTATAATAGTCATTTATTGTCGAGTTATAAAATTCATAAACAAAAATGAAATTTGTCTAAAAATCATCAAATTTAAATCTTTAATATCATTCCAATGGTGAGGTTTACGGAAAAAATATAAGATACCTTTTTTGTAGAGCATTAAATTTCCTACAAAATTTGTCTAGAACATTTTTCTGTACAATCAATAAATAATGAAGTATGAATTTTAATCTATTAGACTGAAAAAAAAAAAACTGCGATGCGGAGGATCTTCCTATTAAAATTAAGAGCTCATATTTGGTGAGAATTGTTTTAAGGTGTCTAGCAACTCATTTTTCCGTGGCACTTGAAAAAAAAAAAAGTCATTTTTTTGACCCACCCTAATATATATATATATATATATACATATGTTTTTACTATAATGTCAAATTGATTAATAATCTCATTAAATTCATTTAAGATCAGATAAGATAGAAAATGATCCAAGAGATTCTCGATATATTACAAATACTCTCGTGAAACATATTACACAAAATATTGATATTTGTTTAGTTTATCAATTGATAATCAAAAGTGCTAATAGTTTAATCATTGCAAAAATTATTTACTACTTCGTTGAGAGTTTATTATCATTTTAATTATCATAAGAGATAGTTGAGTAAGGAAAATTTTATCACATATTGATTGTCTTAATTCTAATCTTATATTTACTTTATATTGTACTCGCGTGTAATATCTTGTTATCTTTTCTTATTTCGAAATTTCACGATAAACGATTCTTTTTTTCCATTCACGTTTTCATATATGTATATTTATATATTTATATTTGAAATTGACTCGAAAGCTCTTGAAGGATGTGTATTCATTCAATCGATCGAAACCTACAATGGAAATTCTATGAGTAGGTCAAATTGTCAATTGAATAAAGCTGTATCTTTCGATACAAAAAAAAAATTAAGAGATTATTGATCGTTCAATCATTATCTCACACAATTTACATGTTTTTCAATTACCTTTTATTTCATTTCCATTTAAATATTTTTAATACAAAAATGTTCCAAATTTTCCAACAGAAAATTTCAGATCAATTTTGTTTCAGATCATTCTTATATTTTTTTTAAATAAATGAAAAATATTATAAAAATTATATTTTTTTACAGATGACACAAAATAAGGGAACAGTTTATATAAATTTAAAGAGCTTAGATAGAAAATTATAATTGAAAAATTGAATAATTACCGCTGAGAAGGAAACAGCGTGCTAGAGGATGAACAGTCTGCCACTTGTTAATTAACATTTCTAATTGGTTGTTCTTAAGTGAAATTAAGAACAATTATTAGCAGCTTAAGTGAACAAAATTGAAGAGAAGAGATTTAACGTTTTCGAGACAAGATTTGACACACTCTCTGAATCGTATCGCAATGAGGGTTGGATTCGTACTGATGGTTCGAGTCTGAGGACTATCCGATTCTACAAGCCGAGAGGACTCGATCTTACACGAACACGTACACCGAGTATCTCTACGATTATTAAAACGTGGACTCTAATGCGCCAGCGTCAGCTTCGAATTTTATCTGCTTGTTTTGTGTACCTCAATCGATATCAAAATTCTCTTATTTGACTGTTCACGTTCGAAAATCTTTTATTTTGTAAAAATTATACATATATGTTTATTTTATTTTAGTAATACTTATGTTTAAAAGATATTAGAATCAATTTTTACCATTTATTGATACATTTATTTAGTTATTGTTAAGTAATTTTTAATAATAAATTAGTAAAGCAATCGTAACTCATTTATAATATCATTCAAAATGGCGTCATTGGCGCGAGTAAATTATCGTCCAATCAGATCGCGGCAGCCATGATGTATTACCCTTGCATTTAAATAAATTCGCGCCTTATTAATCTCCTAGGTGATTTATTATTATTATAATTATTTATATATTGTGTATATATTAGAAATACATTATATTATGATCTGTGATTATGTTAATTATATATTTTTTATAAATTAGTGTAATATATTATATATTTTAATATAATAATATTTCGTCTTCGGTAGTAGGTAGTATTAATGTTCGATACATTTATTTATTTGCAACCAAGAATATATCCAGATGTATGTACAATGCATACATTAACAATACATACGTATAATATCTATTTATTTAAGAAAGTAACTACAAGAAAGAAAAAGATAGATAAATATAAGCAATCAAACTGTGTGACGTATTCCTTACACAAGTGTTCACCACTTTGTTTCTTCCACTTTTGAAAAGCAAGTTTGAATTTCTTGTCACGAATAGTAAGTATTACTGCTGCATTCTCGTCGATTGTCCAGTTATTGCGACGATAGTGAAAGTTCCAATTCGGACATTTTTTTTGTTAAAACATACCTTACCTAGTTCCAAATTTGAATATTGTATAGAACGAATAAACAACAAAATTTATTTCAATTATTTAAAGTAATTCTAAATAATAGAGTACTTATTACTCTACTTTGCGGAGTAGTATTAATAAGAGTACTTATTAATAAAATAATAAAGTAATTAAAAAGTTATTTTAATTATTTAAAGTATTAATCACATTATAATTGATTTTCAGATAAATTTTGACGAAGTCACTGACATAAGAACAAAATACTAATAAATAAGGTTCATTGGTATATATTGAAAAAAGATATTAACGATTTCTGTTGACTCCTTCAAAATAAGCCATACATCACTCCTCTTTTTTGTCTGTCCAGGTTCAAAGAAGAATAATATTCGTAAATAGACGTAAATTTCAATTATCATAAGTACAGGACTAACAATATTTACTACTCTCTTGACACCTTTTCGGCGCAAAAGCCAATTTATTGAACATCGTTACCTCTTAGCGAGAAACCATTTGTCATCCACTGATCCGTTCCTTTAAACATATTTATATATTTATATATGTATATATGTATGTATCTATGTGGTATATAACACAACGAATGCACCGGATGCGTCTTCTTCCATATTTGGTTTTGTAGAATATTTCATAGCGGTATCAACCACAAATTTCGTTTTATTTCAACTTCGTTCAATTTTTAAATTAACAAATTGAAGATAAAGATTTTTATAATAAAAGAGAAATGTCTACCAAATTTTCTATATTTCTTTCAAGTATTATAATTTATAATTGGTTTCTGTCATATCTCATGAATGATCGCTTTCTTTTTTATAAGAAAAAGAACACAAAAAAATGATTAAATTCTCATTTCTTACGAAACCCTTTTTTTAATACGATAATAACAGCGTGTAATAGAGTATGATTTCAGGGAAAGTTGATCGATCGAACGATTTAAAAAAAAAAGAAAAAAACTCACTCGTGAAAAGAAAAACAATCTAAAGAAAAGGAGACAAGAAAAAAAGAAGAAATGCAAGATCACCTCCTCTTCCTCCTCCTCCACACACTTGAAATTGGGAATTCTATTTCTTTCTCGAATCAGTAGCAACAATCTGTGTGTGTATACTTTTGGAACCACACCTTCGGTTTTTAATTTATCTGGGTGGTGGTAAACAGAAGTTTTTCGGTGGTCAGAGGGTCCGCGCAGAGACCAACGCGCATATTATTCATTCGCGCGAACGCATTCGACTGGGTTCATCCGTTCGCGAACCATCGAGACTACTTCAGTCTGTGTACAGTCTGCAGTCTTCGATCATCCTCCTTTGAAAATTTATCCTTCTATTTCGAGTACTTATTTTTCTTTATTTATAAAATATAATCACACTCATTTATTATTTAACATTTATCAATGTCTTCTTTCTTTTTTTTCTTACTCAATTCCTTTTCTTGTCAATTCGCATTTGTTTCATTCGTAGTTAATTTTTCATTAATTTTAATTCGATTATTATTATTACGAGTGTACAAGTACAAATCTGTACACGTTTATGCGTTTAATTACACTTCCATTGTATTTGTCTTCTTTTTATTTTCAATTATAACATAGAAATAAATTTGATTGACCGATAGGAAAGAAGATCGAAAAGAAGAATAAATTTAGTTGGGAAGGTTGCATTTGATATTCTCGAGGACGCATCCTTGGATTGGTTTGATTTCCAAGCTCGATTTTCACCTACTTCAAACGGCGGGCCTAAAAGGATTTGGTAGGCGAATCACGTGCTACTCACCGGTAAGTACCGAGCACGCTTACGGTACCAATATACTTTTAAAGTGCTACCATTCATGAGAGACAGACAGACAGACAGACAGACAGACAGACAGACAGACAGACAGACAGACAGACAGACAGACAGACAGACAGACAGACAGAGAGAGAGAGAGAGNAGACAGACAGACAGACAGACAGACAGACAGACAGACAGACAGACAGACAGACAGACAGACAGACAGAGAGAGAGAGAGAGAGAGAGAGAGAGAAAGAGAGAAAGGAACAGCTGTTAAAGATAAAACCGGAAATTTAACGATTTGTAAATGCAACCTGTTTCTTTGATTTTATATCGATCATTTTTAACCGGAAGATCAAATTTATCCTTAACGATTTATCCACACACATTGATAATGTTAGCAAATGGTATTTACAAATTTTCGGAAGCTGAAAGATGAATATTTTTCAACTAATTTTGCAATATGATCAAGTTTTACGTCTTATATAAGGATATATATATATATTTTTTTTTATTTATTTAAAAGAGATACCGAGTAACATAGTAATGTCCGCAACCTTGGTTTTGGTTGGTCTCGGAGGATCAACAAAAATTCTTAATCCTTTGTTCCTTTCTCTCGCTTTTGTGATTCCAGCGGCATTTCGATATTCGAAACCGGTGCAACACACCACAGGTCAACCCGATTTCCTTCATTGTATTTCACGAATATATATGTTCATAACCGGTATTAAATAATCATATTCTTTATAAGATATGCATACTTTTCTGTCATCTAAATAAATTGTTGTAATTTATCTTATACGCGAATAATTAGCATAAGTTTCGAACAACGTTTTCTTTTATGATGTAAAAGGATTAAAAACAGGATTAACATAACAAGAGAGGTTCAATAGTTTTTCATAAACAAACGATGAATCATCAGGTTCGATTATCACTTGTCAAATATCTATGCGAATTGAATAGATAATTGCGTTACAAAAGATCTAATGATATTAGCTTTCCGATTAAAATTTTTAGTCATGTTTTTAAATGACAAGCAAGTAAGTAAGTGACACGAATATTTTCGATGATGTTTTATAGCGAATTGTGACGACATCTCTCCATTGTATTCATTGATACTTACTTTTTCTTTTTCCTTGTAAAATTTCGTTAAAATTTCTATTGTTAAAAGAAAGAAGACAAAAATTCGATTTGCATATTTTCTTTTTTCAATTCTTTGCTTTAATTATCGAACTATGTGATAAGTGGTACTTACGTTAATTTTGTTATTGCAATAAACGATAATCTACATGGAAACATTAAAATCCTAATTGACAATATGTGTCATTTAAATTGAAAAGAACAAAATGTACAAAAAAATTATTGAATCTGTTGATAACGAATTTTGTTTTTATTTTATTTTATCAACGCTTTTATCTCCCCCCCGTTTGATTACCTTGCCGTTGCAAATGTCATCGACCGGTCTCTCAAAGAAGTCAAATTAAATTCTTTGAATATTTTCAATGTTATTGTGGATTTTATTGCACATTTACGAGGATATTTTCTTGGGTGTTCTCTTAATTTTTTTCTTTTTGTTTTACTTCTTTCAACAACGTGATATCATTTTTGAAAAAGTCGAGGAAACAGGATCTTCTTTCTGTTTATAATTAACGTTCAAAAACTCGTTTTCTATTCCGTCTTCGAAATTATTATTGTACTTTATATATTTTATTATTATTATTATTTTCTCTTTCAATATGACGGTATAGTTTTTATTATAGAGTCCACATTTTTCTAAAGTTTAAATTAATAAAAATAGATGTATGCAAATCACACACAGTAGGAGTGAAACCTTAAAAGAGAACCAAGCTTCGAAACGTTAATATATATCGAAACAATTGAATTATAATACAGCGCCATCTATTGAAAGAATCTTACAAAATCTAGATAACCTGTAAATAAAAATCTTTAAATTAGTAATAAAAAATAATTTAAAAAAAAAAAATCGCGATAAAAATTGTGCTATGTGTTAAGTTGGAAAAAATCACGTGAAATAAAATAAATTTCATTAAGATAAGTTGAGTAGTTTCGGAATTATTAGTGGATAAACATATTGTGACACTGCATTTTTATATATACAATTTTATTAATTAATTAATAAATATATAGAATTAAATAATATAGAATTAAATTATATATTGAATTTTATTAATTAATTAATTATTTTTGTTTCATCGGTTTCATGTTCTTCCGTTTCACCTTCTTCCGTTTCACGATTTTTAAATCACCCCGATTCTCAAGAAGTTTTTACTTCAATAAATATTTATAATTAGATTATTCATTTATTTGATATAAATACTTGTGTGTTGCTACTATAAACATTTGTTTTTATACTTGAGCATTATCGAAACTCATAAGAGAAATACTTTTTATTCCCTTTTTATATTTCTCTTTTTTTCCCTTACCTTCTTATTTTTCTTTTTTGTTCGTATTCCTTGTCACCTTACACTTTTTGATATCACGAGAGAGATAATTTCAAACCCATAATGTTGTTCAATTTATCCACGAAGGTCGACCAGCCTCACAAGGTTTTATTTTTAACCAGTCCATTCGTTTCATTTTTTTTTTGGTCTTTTTTTTTTCTTTTTGTTTTGTTGCACTTTCGTTTCCTTTTCCGATCATTATTATTTGTTTCTTCGACTTTATATTAAATAAATTTTCACCGAAACTTGTGAAAATTTGATGTGATGACAAATCACAGTTCGTTAATACGAATTATTATGAACGAAGATTGAGAGGTCAAAAAGATGACTGTAGTTTGTAAAAACAAAACCAAAAAAAAAAACAAAAGAGAAGGAAGGGTGATATATCAAATATCATGAATATTTTGAAATAAATCGGATTGGGTTAAATTTCATTGTACGAGACACGTATTTGCATTTGACGTGTTTTAATTTATTTCTTTTTTTTTTTCTACTTGCGTCAATCTTTGATTTTATCTTCGAATGTTTGCTTCGATTTCTCAATTTTTTGTTTTGTTTATCATAATAATTTATTATTGGGATATCTGGCAGGAGCGTGGCGTAGCAATTCGACCTATCTACTCTAATTTTGAATTTAGCCACCAGATAGTGTATTCAAGTGCTAGAAATCCCAATACGAACTGTGATTAATTTGTCATTGATAATGCTAATAAATCTTTTATTGTTAATTTTGTTGAAGTTCATTTGACTGCATTAATTAGTTTAGAATGATATTAAATCAATGTTTTATAAGAAAACCACAGCAACGTGTAACTAAAACTTCCTAGTATATGTATATTTAAAAGTAAAATTATCAATAATGGATTTCTAACGAGCACAAAGATCATAGAAAGAGTTTAGTTAAATTGTAAAAAGGATTAGCCAATGAATAAGAACAAAATTCTATGGTCGTGTCATGCATTATATCTTTATCTCCAATTGGCACAACAAATGGATATACCTAGTCTTTTTCTAAACATACTTACGCAACTTTCTTCCAATGCGTGCTACGATTCAAGGCCATTCATCTGCAATTTATTCATGAATACTCTTTCTAATCCAAATTAGAGACTCGTTTAAAGTCTCCACTCGGTATTAAACTAAATTCTAAATTTTAATTTTGTCACTTTAGTTTTTAGAGATCCTTCACTCTCCCTCCTTGTTTTCTAACATTGAACATAGAAAAATTTCTAATTTTATCTGATCTCTGATTGATCGAACTAAGCACGTACGTGTTAACGACATTGATCAGCTCATTCGTAAATCGTGAAAAAGATTTTTAATGGATACGTTAATGGTTTAAACATACGAATAAAACCACCATAATGAATGTCTTATCTATTACCAATTTTAATAATAACGGTATCTTAATTGACTTGAGAATACATTATGCTAATATAATCGATTTAAACGATATAAATAACATGAAATTTATCTTGTCACTTACTAAAACTTTTTAATTGATATTTTTCAATAACGACTGGTATAAATTATTAAAAGAAATAAATCTACGAATTATCTCAAATCCTAATGATTTTCCATGATTATTTATTAGTAAAAAAGAAATTTATTTTTTATCATTTCTAATCTGTTAATAATAAAATTAACGTTTTAATAATTATTTCATTAAAATGTTTTTCAGGTATTACGATGATTACGAGGCATCAATGTTCCCGTTTAATCCTTATTGGGTTACACTTTTTTCTCAATGTAAGTCAATTATAAATAACTTTGGTTGTACAAAAAAATGATTCAAGAAAAATTCATCTTTGAGTATTTTTCGTATAACGTTATTATTATTAAGAATTTCATTCGAAGATACCGGACATCTGTCAAGTTGTTGGGCATGGTCGACTTATGGATCCACCATCGCGTAATAGCATGTGGCGATTTGGATTTCCAAATCCAGTGAATTACAACGACAACGAATTATTCTGTGGCGGTTATGCAGGTAAAAAGCTTTTCTTATTTTTTTTTTCTTCTTATCTTTTCTTTCCAATAATGATTCCCTTTCACCCATAATAAATGGGGTTATTTCATAAGATGGATGACAGTCGATTAAAAGAGAGAAAAAAAAAATGTTGGCCCAAAAGGGAATGAAATTTTCAAGGTGTGTTCGTTCTCGGTATTAAATTTACTGACATAAGTATTTTTAAAGATCCGACAAACAGATTAAGTTTCACAATTTAATTGACTTCAGACAATTCTTTGCGCACGTATGTGTGTGTGTGGTTAATATTTATGACATTCATTTTTGAATAAGAATTTATCGATAGAAAGTTTTACATAACATCATTGTTATTTCATATTAAATGATAATAATTAATATTTAAAATAAAAATATATTATTGGGTCGAGTCATAAGTAACTTCCGATGCGGCTATGTAGAATCTATTTTTCGTATTTACCTATTATAAGTCACCGAAACAAACGGATTTTCGATATCACTATATAGATGAGGATTCAGTTAGTCTTCTGTTAACTTTTTTATGCAGTCAATGTTACATTTAACCCTTTGGGTACATTTGACGAGTGAGACACGTCATCTGCTTACTTGGGTATTTTGTTTTATTTATAATATTTATTAATATTTAGTAATTAAAATGTTGTTGCAAAAATATATTTATATCATCAATATAAATATATTTCAAATAAAATGTATTACTTTTACATATTAATCCATATATAATTACAATAACAAATTAAATTCGTTATGTATACATAAAAATTTTCAAATAATTCAGTACTCAAGGGGTTAACCGTTTTTCTTAAACACTGAAATCGATAGTAAAAAGTTCATATTCGACATGTAATGCTTTAGGAATTGAAACAAGGCAATAGCACTAAGGTGGCAACTGAAAAAATATGCAGCGTATACAGTGCAGGACTGATAATTGATAAGGCAGTCAGAAATTGGTTTGTATTAGGTGGTTCGGAAAGTCGTTTCGCTTTTTGCTGATGCAATAATGGCATTAGTTGATGCAAATCGACAAATAGTAACACATGAGATCGATGAGACGTTAAATTTATCAAATTCAACTTTTTATGACCATTTGAAAGGTTTAACCTCGAAGCAAAAATTATCTTCATTTTTACAAAAGAACAACGAAACGACTTTTCAAACCACCTAATAAAATTCCATTCTGGAGATACGATCTTAAAAGATGAACCGAGTGCAGGACGTATTTCCGACTTTGACGAACCTTTTAAAGGTAATATTGGAGCAAAATCCAATAGATACGTCCATCAGATGCAAATAGTGCAAAAAAAAAAACTCCATGAAAGGTGTCTTGCACTTATCAGCCGTAGAAACGCCATTCTTTGTCTCATAAAAAACGGAAGTTATTTATGACTCGACCTAATATATTTAGAGAAATATTTTCATACACAAATATTAAATAATTATAATATTTCGTAATTTAGTTCAGTGGGTTCAAAATAAAGGTCAATGTGGTGTATGTGGTGATGCTTATCATTTGAGCGAACCAAGACCACACGAAGCAGGTGGTGAATATGCGAAAGGAACTATAGTTAGACATTACACGGTTGGCCAGGTAAATTTATCAAATTCAACACGAATAATTATATTTTAATAAATACTCTTAAAAGTATTCATAATCCTTGATAGGAAATCGATATAGAAATAGAATTAACGGCCAATCACATGGGAGGATTTGAATTGTATCTTTGTCCAAATAATAATCCAAGAAGAGAAGCAACTCAGGAATGTTTCGACAGGTATATAGTTTTTTAATTAACGTTATTTTCTATTAAAAACTTGAATAATTTAAGTTGACACTTTTATTTGTAGATTTCCACTTTACTTGTCAGGTACACGTGACGTTCGTTATGAAATTCCATTGGATTCAGAAAAGAAAGGCATTTTTCGTTACAATGTTGTATTACCACCTTACGTCACTTGCAGCCAATGTGTAATTCAATGGAGTTATTATACAGGTTTTATCATTTATTCATTTTTACCTTATTTATTCATTCTTTGTTTAAGAATCCTAAAGCTGAAAGTGTCTCACCTCTTTTTCTTTTTTTTTTTTTATTATGGATGAATGACTTACTGCCATGTAACAAATTTATACTGCTAAATATTCATTTGTAATTTTATTTGAAATTGTTTGATAGGTAACATGTGGGGTACCTGTGACAATGGTACAGAAGGGGTAGGATGTGGTAGACCGGAAACATTTAGAAATTGCGCAGACGTTAGCATAGTGACGAGTACAGCAGGGGTACCACCATCCTTCGTGCAAAATGATAATCCTTTCTTATTGTATTACAGAGATATTACATCTCCAAATAATATATTCCCATTGATAGTAAGGTAAATGATCAAATTTTCAACATGAAGTCGTCATTTTAAATAATATATCGAGTATGCGAGTTAATAAAAAAATATCTTCTTCTTTTTCGTAGATCACAAGTTTGCTTGCCGACGTATCTTTATCGGCGTATTCCTGGAATGAATGATTGGTGTCAAGTAAATTGTCTTCGTTATCCACCAAATTGTCCTAATTCGGTTTGCCATTGTCCGTGAGTATTCAAATGTTCACAAAAATATTATACAAAAATATTTAAAAAAAAAATATATTACAAAACAAAAAATGCTAATTTATTTTGTTCTTTTCTTTTTTGTTTTTTTTTTGTTTTAAATTTTTAGGGAAGTTTGCGATGCTGTTGGTGAACTCGAAGGTAAAGAAGGTGCCAGTGTTTATTGTATGGACAAATGTTTAGTGTATCCAATTGATTGTCCAAGCCATCGTTGTCGTTGTTATTAATGAGAACAAAACAAGAAACAAAAAAAAAGGAAGAAATTTTAAACACAAATTTAAAACAGGGACAGAAGAAAAATTAGTTAATAAGGTAAAAGGCAAACGAATGCTGTTGTAATACTCAAATTAATGAACTTATTAGAAATCTTGGATTTTAGTTATCATCTTTCATATCTTTTCACTTTGTCCGTGTGTGTTTGTCATTTTTTTGTATGTTATTTTTTGTTTTTTTGGTATTAAACAAAGAGTGTTTCTCGTATCGACTGTATACTTGAACGAATGGATTTTTTGTATTTTTTTTTGTTTTATATACGTATAAATGTTAATTAGATAAGTAAACCTTCTTGAAATCGCAGATGAGAGGAATCTAAATGATTTGGGAAAACATAAATAATTAAAATACTCTGCGATGGTTCCTACCATTGTATACGAAAAAGAACAATAAAAATGATTGCTGTATATCTTTCTATTGTTTTTTAAATTAACCCTTTTGTGTTATTAGCGACCGATATAAGGGTCATCAGTATAATAACCGACCCATATAAGGATCGTACCATACTAAAGGGTTAATAAATGCATAAATCAATCAATCAAATTTCGTTTCTTTCTGAAAAAATAAAAACATTAGTTAATGCAAACCGGCAAATAAAAACACGTGAGATTGGTGAGAGATTAAATTTATCAAATTTCCTGTTTATGACCACTTAAAAGGCCTAAGTTTAATTTTGAAGAGAAAATTATTTTCATTTTCACAAAAAAAAAACGAAATTACTTTCCGAACAACCCAATAGTTGAAACATCTAATTTTGTTTTTTCAGGAAAATGTTAAGGGTATCGATTAAATATAATATATATATATATATATATATATATGTATATATAAATTAAACAAAAAAACAAAAGACAGAAAATAAGATAAAATCTCTTTGATTTTTTTTCATTCTCGATTGATATAATGGCACTATATAATATTTTGTTAATATTAGGACATTGTTTTCTATTGACAGCTTAAAATATTACGCATATATCACATATTTAATATATGTTATATAAGTTTAACGATTAAACGTTATTCTGCGTTCTTATACAATAATATATAATATGCAACTATGTTTAACGAAACGATTGATTAATTTTATTTTATTTTATTTTATTTTATTTTATTTCATACCGCGTTATTATTGTAAATAATGAACGCTAAAACACACCATATGGGCGCGAAGTTTTATTCTTTAAGGTATTTTATATTCGTCGTAATTGTCCCTAGTCGTCGTATCGTAGTTTTGTCCTCCTCAAAATTATTTTTTTTTTCTTTTTTTGGTGGCATCGTACACACGCAGCAGGACACACGCGTAAGTAATTATATATATATATATATAATAACTTACGTTAAATTACAATAATTCAATCGAAATTTGTTCGAATCCATTTGTTTAAGATCCGCTAGTTTGTGTTTTAGCTTTTAATTTAATTTAGCTTTCTTTCTTTGTTTTTTTTTCATGGTTTTTTTCTTTTCTCTCTCATTTTTTCGTTAACACCTTTAAAAAACTATATACACTAAAGCTTTTTATCGTCTATAACGTTATTATTATCGACTAACTAGTAACATTTTTTCTTTCTTTCTTACTCTCCTTCTTGTTATCTTTTTTTTTTATTTACTTTTATCCCAATTTTTATCGTCACTTAAACGTCATAATAAGTCATCGCCCAAAAAGTGTATATACGGTGTATATGTGTGTATATAATTAATTATAATAATAATAAGAATAATATTAAAACGCAGCCTTGAAAATTACAAATCATACCAGACGCATTTACAATATTTGTAAAATTTGTTCAATTATTTTATGCCTCAGTATATATGTTTCAGTTTTATTTTAATAATAATAATAATAATTATAATAATAATAATAATAATAAGTCATTTCTTCTATTCTCATTAGGGGGGAATCCCAAAAAATTCTAAAGTTTTGTTTACAATGCATCAAAATTATTTCAACATTAAAATTAATTTATTTGTAAAAAGAAATGTAGTGAAAATTAATTCAGGGGTACCCTCAAAAATTGATCGGTCCTCGAAATCGTGCATTTTGATATTATTTTTGGTAGTTTATGTTATTTTTTTTTTTTTTACAGGAAACATTGCAAGCAACATTTCTAAAAAAAAAAAAAAAAGAAAAAAAAAGAAAGGATACTACTAACGATCGAATTTAATTAGATTATTTAAATAATAATACAGGCTTTTTGCAGTTTGAATTTTCCACTCGATTTGTCAGGTACGTTTTCAGTCTTCCGATAAACAGGTAAACGTGCTTCTCGATTGTATTCTTGTCGATTATAAAAAAGAATGTACTAAGTACTAGTCTAGATAATGTATTATATTATTTAACCAGTTAAGCGTGTTTGACGACTATATCCGTCATAGAGATGTGGCCAAATTTTGTGTTATGACGTCTATATTCGTTATGTGTAAAAGTTTGTAACAATTTCATGTTTAAATTGTTATTTTGACGAAAACTAAATTATATTCGTAAATTTTAATATGTTTTGAAATGTTTAGAGGTCAAAAAAAAAAATAAGTCAAGAATAAATTTTTAACTTCTATAAATATTCGATTTTTTCTCTAATTTTTCCGTTTATTATGTATAAATATATGTTTATATTAAGGAAACTGTGTCTAAATTACTAACAAAATTGTTCACTTTCTAAAATAAAGTCGTCTTTTTGACTATCCAATATTTTAACAACTCCACTTACTCTGTGTTTGACGACTATATCCGTCATCGCTTGATTATCGCAACACACACCGGAGCGCACTCTGCGCATAGATCGCCACACTTAACTGGTTAATTATTTCTTTTTTTATTTTTTTATTTTTTTTTTCTTCTAATCAATAAACTCAACGAAGATAACCAAGTCTTTTCGACGGTTCGGATACAATTGATATTCCTATTACAAGAAAATAGTAACTATAGTCGTAATATTTTAATTATAATAGTACTTGTGAACGATCGATTTTTCTATCGTATATAATTATTATTATTATTATTATTATTATTATTATTATTATTATTATATATTTTTTTGTTTAAATAATTTCATAATTAATAATAACAATAATAATAATACTTTTATCAGGACGTATAACTGTGTTCGCATCGGTCATTGAGATCATTTTTCGTCGACAATTATGATTGATAACAACTATAAAAAATGCTTAAACCATTTGACACTTTGCTTTTTTTTCCCCCTCACATTTTTCAACACTTCAAACGTGTTTTAAAATAAAAAAAATAAAAAAAATAAAAAAAAATACTAATCAACGGACACTTTTTGGCGATAATATAAATGACGATAACTTGGACACGAAATTTGTTTGATCTTGAGCATACCCCTTAATTATTACAATGGATCTTCACGTATTTTTTCTTTCTTTCTTTATTCTTTTTTTTTTTTCAAGTATTTTATTTTAAACGATTTCTTTGGCTTAGGATGAATATAATATTATTATCATTTATGTATTATATATTATTCTAAATCGTTATTATATATATATATATATATATATATATATATATATATATATAGATTATAAGTGAAACAACGCAACAGTGCAATTCGTAATATTTATTTACAGAAAATTGTTGTCGTTATTGAAATTAATTTTGTTTATATATATATATATATATGTATATATTTTTATTTTTTCTATTTCTTTCATTCTTCCTTTCATTTTAAATCGAATTTATCCGAAAAGAAAAAGAAAATCCATCCTTAGATGGATCCAAACTTTTACAATTGAAACATTCTCTTTTGTTTCTAATCATATCTAATTATTATTCATTCGAATATATTTTTTATAATAATATCATTATACGGTACGATATCGGCAATGTTTTTTTAACACACCCAATATTCTATTATGTAATTTTCAAAAAAAAAAAAAAAACTTTTCTATTATGTTCTCAGTTTTTTTTCTTTATAACGTTTGATAAGTATGTATAATAATTGGATTATTATAATAATCACTTCTTAATGAGAGTTTTAACTTGTATTAATTGTTGTTGTTGTTTATTATAATTATTATTATTATTATTATTATTATTATTATTATTATTTTATTAAGTTTATTTTTAATTTAATTTAATTTTATTTTATTTTGTATAATTTATTTATGTTTTTTTTCTTCTTTCTCCTCTTCTTATTCTTCTTCTTATTCTTCATCATCATCATCATCATCGTTACATTTGTGTGTAATGTATGAGTGTATGTATATGTATTTTTGTTATAATTATTTCATCTTATCTTAACTTAAACTTGACTTTTGCGAATTAACAATAACGATTGTTTTATTATTTTATTTTCTTTTTATTTTTAATGTTCATTTTCCTTTTTAACGTTATTTTAACTCTTTGCACTCGAAATGATTTCGGCCAAATTATGGAAACATTTGACATGTACTTTAAAGTCATTTATAATTAAACAAATGTATACAAAATAATCAAATTTCACCAAATTTAATTATTTTTATATCAGAAACAAGAAAATTTGAGAATTATTATACTCTGTAATTAGTTTTATGTATGATATTTCGTAAAACAATACCCAAAATGCATCTTAGGTGTTTATCAGGACAAGTATCACAATAATTTGTTACTTCTCACCTATCTCCAGGTGTATTACGATCAGAGTAAACCTTACAGTCACTTTTCAACCCTTTAAGTATTATCTTTAAAGAAATATCTTATCACATATCGTAAATAAGCAGATAAAGTAAACAAAAGACTTGAAATCAGTCAGGTGCTGATTCGGCGCCACTCGAGTGCAAAGGGTTATTTCATAATGAAATATCTCGAAAATCTCGTATTATTATAACAGATCTCGAGTGCATGGTACCATCGATCGTTATAATCCATCAAAATTATCCAACAAATTTGTGAATTTTGTTTTTATTTTTTTATCCTTTTGCAACCATACTTCGTCCTTTTTTTTTTATTAACATCGAATATCATTAACATTCTTCGTCATTTTATTTTTACGATACTTTGCCAATCAACGATCCAATTAAAATATTTATTTAAGAAAAATAACAACCAAATATTATTATAAAAAAAAAAAAGAAAACAAATAAAAGTATTATCGATCCTCGTTGATAACATAGAAAAATTCTCTTTTTAAAATTAATTCATTATCTTTTTTTTTTTTTTTTTTTTAATATACAGCTGTATAGCTATTTCGTTCTACTGCAATTTTCGTTTATTTTTTTTATTTGTTTTGTTATCTCGACACAGACATAACTTTTATAATAATTATTATTTAATTAGTATATATATATATTGGTATATATTTCACATTATTATTTTTTAAAGGAAATATACAACATACGATAAAACGAAACATCAATGTTTACATTTAATAATAGGCTTTGTTTAGACTTCGATTCACAGTTACAGAGAAAAATAGAGAGAAATATATAGTATGTGTATTATTATTATTATTATTATTATTATTATTAAATATATGTTTACTTGTTTTATATATGTATTTATATATACACGTGTATATATAAATAAAGAAAATCTACAGACACATATATATATATATATATATGTTATGTGTGTAGGGTGTGTTTGTTTATGTGCTCGGAAGTGTGTGTGCGTGTGTGTTTATTTAACGCGTGTCACATACGATTAAGTTTAAATAATTTAAATCTAATTTCGCAGACTCCTGGCTCTGGGGCAGTTTCAGTTCCAGCAGTCATGCGATTTTAAGCGATTTATTATCTGCAATGACATTTTCACAATTATTATTTTAATCTAAGTTCAATCATTCCAAAGTTATTACACGTTAGAGACCGTAATAACTCATTTAGGCTCGAAATTATTCACAATCACAAATATCATTCATTCCTCTTCTCAAAAAGACGATTAATCGTAATATTTGCGTATAGGTTATCATCTTCGTTCGATCTTCATTTTATTTTATTTTTTTTTTTGGAAGGGGTGGCTTTTTCTTACGTTTTTCTATTTTTCTATTTTTTTTTCTTGAATTATTTTTTAAAATTACTTTTTTTCTTTTTATTTTAGATCGAATAATATATTCGTAACACTAACAAGTAGAATGAATTATTATTTGACGCGTTTTCGTTTATTAATATTTTATAATTAGACGTTTAATTAGCGGAAAAAACGATGAATAAAGCGACAATATCAATAGCGCAAAAAGACTTGTACATTAAATATTTTTATTCTAACGACACAAATTTATTATTATTATTATTATTATTATTATTATTATTATTATTATTATTATTATTATTAGAGAGACGTTTTATGCTTACGTTGTTAGCTTCTTTTTTTTTCCTTTTTTTTTTTCTATTTAAAGCGATAGATTATAGTCGATTTATGTTAATCAATTTATTTTTATTATTATTATTATTATTATTATTATTATTATTATTATTAATATAAAATAATAATTAAATTATAAACATTTTCTTGTATTATTTTAACAAGAAAATAGGAAGAAATTTTATAGAAATAATTAACCAAATGAAGCTTAATTTAAATCTTATTAAAATCATACGAATAATTTAATTAATAATTATTAATTATTAATTGATAATTAATAACGTGGTCTTTGCGTGCGGTCAAGGGGCTCATTGTTGACAAGCATCCAAAGGCCACGCTGCTTATGGGGTTGTTAAAAATACCAAAATTTAAATTAAATATATATTAATTAAAGCAAAAAACTCGGAATAATTTTGTTCTCAAGTATAATTTATCGCTTTATTCGATGCATAACGAACGATAATCATTTAAAAATCATCTTCGATTAATATTTTTTTGTTCTTTTGTTTTTTTTTCTTTTCTTTCTTTTTTTTTGACACAGAAACATTTGAATATTACACACCACTACTACTGCACTATTAACGTAGACTAAATGCATATTTCTAATACAATTTGTGTATTACAACAATTTTCTCGTTTATTTCATAATCTTCATGAAATTATTATAACTAAAAAATATGAAAATTAATTTAAAATTAAAAAAAAAAAGAAAAAAAAAGAATAAAATATTAGGTTAAGATAAAAATGGCTTTAATGGCTCAGTCGATAATCGTATCGATAAAAATCAAAATTTTAGGCCATATCAATTTGTATTAATTTGTTTTCAATTTAAAAATATAAAATGATCGTTTATAATAATCATATTCTTCTAATTCGTAGATCTAACGTTTTCATTTATTCGAATCTTTGAAACTTTCAAAATGCAATTCGAAGATTTACGCGAATCTGTTTTATCGATGGTGCATGGATCATCAAATCTGTTTGACCGATATCTAAAGATTTTTCTTTCGATCATTCGATATAACACCATAATCTTTTATCGAATTTCGAGAAATAACCATACGAAAGTTCATGCACTCGAGATCAGTTATAACAACTATAACAAATGAAGTAAATTGTTAATCGAATTTATGAATGTTAGTGTGTGAATGTGTTTTTTTATTTTTTGATAATGTAAAATGTAAATATTATAGCGCGTTAACGCTAAAGTTACAAATAACCTAATGTTGCATACGTTTTTACATAGGTTGTATCCACTTTACAGTTCTCCCTGAAACAGACGGTTAATCTTAGTACAAAAGACCATTCTTTTTTTTATACAAATCCTGATTACTTTCGTGGAAACGATGATAGAAGTTCAACCAGCTCGATGTATTTATCCGTTAACAACAATAATAATTAAAATTCAACAAAATAAACAACAAATAAAAAATAAATAAAGAAGAAATGAAAAAACAAAACAAAACAAAAAAAAAAGAAAAACGAATAGATGAAGAAAAATTAAATGTAAAGAAAAAAAAAAGAAAAATAAAATAGAAAACAGTGAATAAGATAATCGTCCTACCTTCATACTCTATTAACGCGTCTCGTCTTCCATTTCAGTCTTCGATTCTACGCCTCTACGAGAAATTATACCTACAAAGGGGTGCAGAAAAAATGCGAGAACACAAAAAAAAGAGAGAGAAAGAGACAGAGACAGAGAGAAAGACAGAAAGATAAGGATATAGAGATCAGAAGCATATGTTTGCAAGGTGGATAGGATAAGAGTAAAGGAAGTATGTCTATATTTGTTAAGGTAGGAAAAACAATGTCTTCGTCATATTTGTTCGATATGACCGGAAAGGATAAAAAAAGGAATTTGTTAGGTAAAAAGAAAGCAAGATAAGGTGTGGTATATAGAGAATGAAGGTTTTTGTTATTTTTGGTTTACTTACTCGTCCTCCCACGGGCACACTTCGTTAACATTATTGTCACGCTTATCCCGAGTGGATACAGTGCTGGTTGTTGTAGCTGTGGTAGTTGGTGCCGTTTGGTCTTCCTGTTGAGTGTCTGGCTCCCAAACAGGAACAACCTGAGCTTCTTCAGTGAGCTCATCCTTTTGTAGTGTTTCGACACCAACTTCCTTGCTTACTTTTTCATCATCCTTTTCCAACAACATCACCACTTCTTCTTTTTCTTCTTCATCATCTTCTTCTTTTTCTTTATCTTTATCTTTTAATGTTTCCTTCTCTTCTTCCTTCATTTCCGTTTCTTTTTCTTTGTCCATTTCCTTTCTCTCTTGATTATCTTCCTCTAATTCAATTTCCATTAGAGTTTCTTTAGACGGCGTAGTAACGTCGCCAGTCGTTGTACCAATACCCTCGGAATCACTTGGCAAGTCTCCGACTATAGCACTGATGCTTATCAACGGTGCTTTCGTTGATAATCTTCTAGTACCTTTTTTCGTTTCATCTAACGTTACAACTTTGTCCATTTGTTGCGTTGTTTCTAACGATGATGTAGTCGTTGTAGTTATAATTAATGTTTCTGGTTCCTCGATCGTTGCCTCGGATATCGTCGCCTCGAATTTTTCACCAGCCGCATGGCTATACTCGAATGATTCCCGAGGCGATGGTAAATTGCATGATGTGGCTAATGGCCGACCTGTTTGTTACCAAAAATATGTATATCAAATTATTCAATTGAAAAAGTGAATAATAATGAAGATTTACCAATGTCCGAAAGTTTGACTCTGTTGCTAGTAGAACCAGTTGAATAATTTCTGGTAATTGTATGTCCACCTGATCCAGAAGCAATACCATGACGTTCCGTTCTGGCAGTTGGAACAGCACTGTGCTGAAGACTGCAGGATTTTCTCAACCTGTCCGAGACTTCGGTCATAGTAAGACTGACTTCGGAAGAGGAACTGCATGAATCCAATTGTGAAGAATTTTTTCGAGATGGACGAGCCACGTCGATAAAATGTATGGACGTTTTGGTAACGTCGTTCCCATATTCCCAGGATTCCTGGGTAGTGTCAGGCCACGGGTTCGTTCCAAACGTTGCCGCCGCAGTCACCACCGCCACCGCATCCGGCCCGGTTTCTGTACTTGGCCCTGGGATCGCGTCCCAAGGGCAAACGTCGTCCATAGGGCGAACCGTCGCCTCCGTGGCGCCAGCATCCCTGACAACACGAACTTTATTACATATGCTTTAGTCTCCACTTTTTTTTATCTCGCCAACAATGCCACGCGATTGTTTTCTTTGTATTTTTTACTTTTTCTTTTCTCGTGTCTTTCACGTTTCTCTTCAATCTGACAAAGCAAACACACATTTTCTTTACATTTTAATCATTATTGCAAGTAGGGTAAACAATCGTAGTCTGATTATAATTTGCATTTTAATTGTTTTTGGTCAAATATGTTACAATCCAATAAAAAAAAATCTATATGATGAAACAATCAATAATTTTATCGTTTACCCTACCCAATACATATATGTATTTACATACGAGCGATTTCATAAAATCGGCGAGAATTTTGGAAAACATTTTAGATTGTTCGGAATTAAGGGATGATGGTGGATAATGGATTATAGAGGTGATGGTAGGAATAATTTAGTTAACGTTCAAAATAGTACAACAAATATGGATATTCAGATCAAAAAGTGAATCCACACGTTAACGTGCTTGTTCTCACACAATGCATAACACAAATAATTATATTATTATTTGTACAGAATATTTCGATTTAACAATGGCATATACATATTTCATTGAACAATAATCGATGATTGCCAATTTCAATCAAAATATGCTATACATACACATATATGTATATACATATATTATTTATATAGAAAGAAATAGAGAGAGAAAGAGAAAGAGAAAGAGAGAGAGATAGAGAGAAGAGAGAGAGAGAGAGAGAAAGAAAGAAAGAGAAAGAGAAAGACGCGTGCAGTTACTCGTGCAAATATCTGCATTCATTTATAAATTATCGATTAGTAATTGAACACACGTATGTAGTTTTTTTTTTATTATTATCTCAATGACACTCTCGAGATAACACGTGAAAAAAATGTAACAAGTTTCTTATCAAATTCCTTATCAAAGATTTTTTGTTTTTTCTTTTTTTTCTTTTCAATGACAGATATTTTTTTTTTTGCTTTCATCACGAGTAACCTGTTTCTTTTTTTGATTTATTGTTGTTGTTGTTGTTGTTCTGTTTTGTTTTGTTGAAATATAGTGTACCGAAGAAATCCAGTGGGGAGCAATAAACAAAGATACATAATAAATATAATAATAATATATACACATAATTAATTGAAAAAAGAAGAGAAGCTTGCCACACAACAGACACCAAATATGTATATATATATATATATATATATATATATATCNTATATATATATATATATATATATATATATATCGAATAACCGAATATACAACTAACATAAATTACCACAATTTTATGTTACAGAGAGACGTAAGAAATCAACAAAATATTCTTAAAAACACAATGATAAAAATTATTTCATTCTGTTTTTTGTTTTGTTTTGTTTTGTTTTGTTTTGTTTTGTTTTGTTTTGTTTTGTTTTGTTTTGTTTGTAAAAAGAGAGACATTCACGTTGAGCTTCATACTGTTTTCAGGGATTTTATACAAACGTTTTTTTAGAGGTCAATTCTTTTTTTTCTTAAGTTCACACAACATACACGCAAATGATAATTTTAAAGAAGTGCGAAAATATTAATCAGATATAAGAGAGAAAAAAAATAACAAAACAAACACTCAGGATTATTTATAATTAATTTGAATTTTTTTTTGTATTTAAATTAATATTAAATTATTGATCTTTTATAGATAGTTAATTTGTATTTAAAAAGAAAAGAAAAAAAAACCCGGTTTTGTACAATTAGAGAGAGAACAAAAATATCTAGAAGAAGATAATTAAGTCGTAAAAAAACAGGTCGTGAATGAAATATAAAAAAAAGAGAAGAAGAATAAGAATAAGAATAAGGCAACGACGTGACAAAATGGAGAGATTGTTTTCGCACGTATGCGTTATATGGGGACTTACTGAATACTATGTGGACTAGGCCTCGTAGGGGTCTTTAGGAGTCGCGCCAGATCACCCCTGAAAATACCGTACCGATAAAAGCTATCCTATGTTCTTTTTCCTTCTGACTGCTCAACCAATGATGCACACTTTCAACGCGATTACCGACATTATTTCGAACGAGTATTATTTCGAACTTCCTATTTACGATTAAATATCGTCAGAATAAAGAAGAAGAACGCGTTAACCTTACCGAACTATGTGGTTGTTGGGTTTGATTAGCCAATGTTCAAGGATTTCTAAGGGTACTCTGTGAAACGGCTCAACGTATTATGTGATACAAAATATAAAAAACAAAATAACATCAAAACATAGCCTATATCGAGAAAAAGATTACATTTCTTAAATTTCTTAATAATTATTCTATTTTTAAACCCTTTCGTTACAAATGTCGACCCCTATGTTGATCGTAGTAGTAACGAAAGGGGGTTGATTGAAATAATACAAGTTTTTATTAAACGAATGAAAAGAAATAACCCAAATGAGTAACAAAAAAATTAGTAATAATAATAATAATAATAATTAAAAAAAGAAAAAAGGCGAGCGATTCGTGTATCTGAAGAGGCACGAAAACAATTTGTTGGTTGTTTCGTTCGATAATTTGATTTAAAAGGATATATTGCTATGATGTGTTTGGAAAAAAAAAAAAGGAAAATGTTGTCATATACGAACGTGTCCGCCGTACCTGTATGGAATATCGGTGAGATTTGATTGGCTATGAGAATGCGGGACTCTCGGCGTAGAACTTATTTCACGAACTCCACAAACAGCAAGTTCGTGAGCTGATCCCGAGAGGCTTCGATCGCTTCCTCTTCTTCTACCACCACCACCACCACCACTACCACCAACACTACCACTACCAACACCACCAACACCACTACTAACACTACCACCACCAGTACCACCTCCACTGCTTCCTAGATTGCCACCATGTTGTTGTTGTTGTTGCAATGTGCTCGTCGTAGTACTTGCGCTAGACGCCATTTTCTTTTTTGCTTGACCACCGAAGCTGAAGAATCTGTGAAAACACAACGGGTTGCGTCTACAGTTTAGAAATAACCTTCGCATATTATTCCTTACTTACAATCAACAAACTCGTCCAACCGAGTAAAAGAAAGAAAGAAAGAAAGAAAAAAAAACTCTTACAATTGCTATTTCAATTTCTTCTTCTTGCCTTAAAGAATAATAAAAGACGAAGATAGAAAAAAAAAGCAGGATTATATGTAGGTACCTTTTCTTTTGCAATGGTTGTACACCGGCCGCTAAAAGATTTCGATATTGATCCGAGCGAATAAATCTGGGATAACAATCCTTCTTCAGAAGTAATGTATATACATGCTCGGCTGCTGAATCGAAGGTAAATCTGCTGGGATTTCTCATCTCTTGATGGACCTTCTCCATTGTCTTTCCATCTATGTTGATCTCGCAAGGTGCACCCGGAGCCAGGAATTCTCTGTTTTGTAAAGAAATATTTTTTCATAACTTTTACAATTCAAATTGTAAAATACTCGTGCTAAAAAAAAAAAAACTTCATAACAAAATGTTTCGATAACTTACCTGAAAATTTCGTTAACCTTTTCCGGTATTTGTGCTTGATAACTGTGTCTCAAATCTTTAACGGCCAACCAAAAACGAATATTTTCGTGACTGTATTCTTTTCTCAAATAATTCGTGAATTCTTGTAAGCCTAAAGAAGAGAAGAAAAAAAATGTAATCGTTTAACATCCAATTAGATAATGAACAGAATTATTATTATTGGACAATGGAAAAAGATTTGATCACCTGTTGGATCGGACATAAGTTCTTCCATCGATAATTCCCATCGTTTGACACGCTTTTCCGTGGGGATTTCCACCCTGAACAAAACAACACGTTGGGGGAAAAAAAAAAAATAAACGATCGATTAATACGCGATAGGATCTTTTTACGAGTTTGATACATAATTTTCATGTTTATATAAATAAACATGATTTTTAATATTTTATATTAAAAAAATTAGATAAAGTATGAAAAAAATAATCTTTCTATAATATATATATATATATACTAACACTGGACTATTTAACGACCAGAATGTACTGTCATCTGTGATCCACGGATTTGAAGGTAACGGATGTACAAACATCGGGTCGTATTCCACGTATGTTTCAAAATATGATTTCAAATTTTCTATAGCAGCTGAAACCTTGATTCTCGTGCGTGTTAAACTGTTTTGAAGAAAGTCCACCTATTCAATGAAAAAAGAAAAAAAAAGAAACAAAATAAATCAAAGATAAAAATGAAGGAATACATTATAAAAGGATTATTACCTCTCGTTGTAATTCAGCGACAGTTCGTTTACGTGGAGGAGGACGTGGTAGTCCTGGACGAAAACGTGTTGGTCCTGGAACTACTTCAAGACTGCTAAGACTACCAGGTGGTGGTCGGTAAACTCTCCAAAATGCTCTTTCCTGTGAATCGCTTACTATCTTATCCCCCTTCTTCCGGTCTTTAGCTAATCGTACCTGAGCCCACAAAGTTAGTACCATTTCAAGAAGTTAGATGTTTCTACATTTAAATTTTCCAAACGATTTCACCCTAAATCTACCACGCTTCTGGTCAAATTTTACTACAACTTTATATTATAACTTCGAACAAGAATTTCGTAGAAATTTCAACGAAACTCATTTCATTTCGGTGTGTTGAAAAAAGTACACTAGTCGATCGATAACAATACTTTCTCCAAATAAAAAAGAAAGACAAAAAAAAGTTAATCGTTTAAACGGAATATAATTGAATTATTCACCTGTTCCTCGGCTTGCAGTTGTATAATATCCCATTTATTTTGCAGATTCTTCCGTAGACTGTTTAATGCTTCCTATATAACGAAAAAGATAGAAAGAGAAGAAGAAGAAGATACGTAACGTAAAACATATTCGATACGAAGAAAAACAAATTAAAAAATGGACAATAAGAAAAAAAAAAACGGAGATACGATTGAATAAGTGAAATTTTTACGTACGGTTTCGTAATCTTCAAGAGCGTGACGTTGTTTGTTCCGTAATGTTCGTTTAGCCAAATAAATAGCGTATTCCACGTTGTCAGGATTCTTATGTTGCCATGGCCAATAATACGGTGACTGTGAGATAGTTGAGAGATTGAAAAGAAAAAAAAAGACAGAAAAAAAATAAAATAAATATGAAACACAAAACTCGTTAGATTGATTCAACAGCAGCAACCGGGAAAAAATGTTTTATCATTTTTTTTTTCAGAACTAAATTGATGCAATATTTAATCCTCTCTCACTATTTTTTCTGTTTCATTTTTTTTTAAGAATACTACGAAATATTAAATTTATTTAAGGCTTTAAATAATTTCTTTTGTTTTGCAAATATATTCAATTGATTTAGGGAACCAAGTATATATATATATATTTTTTTTTTTTTTAGATGCTAAATTAATTCAAATTACCGAGTAATTTTTCGTATTAAAAATATTAAATTGATTCAAGGTAAACTATGAGAGATAATATTTTCTTATCTTCTCTATCTATTATTCTTATTTGTTTGATTATTTTATATGTATATACAATTGTATGAGGGTGGGATAAACAAAAAAAAAGTACCTGAAATCTATATAGCGAGCTATCATCCTTAACGGTAAGCGTCTTGGAGTCGTTCACCGGGAAGAAGTAGCCATACTGGCATAGTTGATTAGCAATATGGAGCGCCTCTACTGTCAACATAACCAATGCACTTTCATACCTGAGAAAATGACTTTTTAAATCTGGGAATTGTGGCGTAGGGATTTATGTTATTATAAGTACTAGAAAAAGAAAAAAAAACTCCGTCTAGTTACGTGCAAAACACCCCTTTTATGTAACAACGCGAAACGTAGTCCAACTACGCGATATATATACGAATCGAATTCTCATAACCCCATATTGAAGCAAATCATTTTCAAAAGCATACATCTAACGTAACAGGAAGAGGAATTCATGCCGATTGTATAGCGCGTGTCTCTCGTCGTCGACGAACTCTATTCATTTAACACACGTTTTTCTTCCTTTTTCTATATATATATATATATATATGCTTTAAATGAAAAGAAGAAAAAAAGAAGCAAGCAAGGAAGGAAGGAAGGAAGAAAAAGAAATGAGCTATGCAAGGGTTTCTATTTATCGGGAACATATTAAGTTCATGTTGAAGAGGTTTCCGTAAGCAAAAAAAACAGCGAAGCTTCAATGAAAAAAATTAAAAAAAAAATTACAAACCTTACGTGCTTTTTTTTGATAGAAATTTAAAACCAAATGATGACGATGATAATAATAATAATAATAATAATAATAATAATAATAATAATAATAATAATTAATATGTTAAATGGAATTGGTAATATAGAAAGTATTAAAATTAGCATTTGTAAGAGGCGCGAGAGCACAGCCGCAGGAGACCCTTTTTTTTTTGGAGACGCCAGGATAATCTGCATTAGACATCCATTAGAAGGGTCCATAGACATTCGTACCTGATTCCTCGATGGAAAGCCGATCCATAAGCCACTCGACGAGATCGTAACCTGCAACACGCAGGCAGTCTACTGTACTCTCCTGGCCGTGATGGCCGCTTACGTTTATGCCACAACGCAGGTACCGATGGCACTCACCCATGAACGCTGAAGGGATCAAGGTGAGAAATTGTTTTTGGCTACGCACGGGTACCCCGTTTTGAGGGTCTTGCATCTCCCGCACCAGCCCCTCCATCTGTTAATTCATTTGATTTTATTTTGGGTGATTTTGTTATAATGAATAATTTGTTACCTTATCAAAGGCATAAGGCCTGTGAACACGTGACTCCTTCTCTTTTTGTTGTAATTGTTGATTGCTAGAGGCCTCCATCGCGATCTTGGGGGCCCTCTGCGTCTTTGGCAGGAGCAGTGGCGATATTTATGGCGGAGGGGGCTGGGGAGCTGGGCCGGAGACGGGTCTACCCGAACTCCATGGGGCTCTGGCCCCATCCCATCACTCCAGTCACCCCCGCACGCCCACTGCACATATTCAAATCAAACAAACAAACTTGTTACATATTTTTTCAATTCAACTTTTGATCACTAGCACAACCCATATACGAATACTTATTAATTTGATTAACCCGTTAACTGCCAAATTATTTTTTGTTTGAAAAATATTTATATTTTTCAAAATGTCTTAAATGGGGATTATGGCTAGTTGCACGAAAAAAACTAATAAGAGACTATTATTTATTTCTTTTATTATTATCTTATACAGACAAAATAGCCATTATTATGCCATTTTTCCATACAGTCCATATAAAACCGAGTGGTGTACGTAAAATTCCAAAATCTCCAAATGGGGATCGTGCCAGCTAATGGGTTAATTTCTTTTCTTTTTTATAAATACACATTTACTTTAGAATCATGATGGAATGGATAGAAAATAATACAAATTTCTAAACTATTATATTAGAATTTTCCTGTTGGAAATATAATTGAACAATCCCCAACGTGTTAATCAATGCCACGAGAGTTTACTACTCGAAGCAAGGAGAAATAGTTTGTAATAGTAGTAATAGTAATAGTAATAGCAATAGTAGTAGTAGTAGTAGTAGTAATAGTAATAGAGAATGGTAAACTCGCCTACGTGAATATAATTCTTGCGTGCGCCTGTAAAGTATGCGACCGTTTCTACATTGTCGTAGTAGACATCGTAGGAATTTCAAGGAACATTGCTGTTGGGCTATAAAGTCGCGGGGCGTTATGGTAAAACGAGTTTTCTATTAAAATAGATTTAACCATACACTGGTTAACAAACACAACATCGTTATTTTGTCGAAGCAAATTCCATCACGATAAAATGGGAATGAAATTTTCAAAAGGAATTCGAATGATTGTTTAATATACTAACATATACGTAAAGAAGAACATGTCTGAAACAAACAAATTAATTGTTGTCTTGTTTATCGTTATTTAAAATCTTTCATTTGTTCAATTTGATTTCTCTTTCTCTCTCTCTTTTTATATTTGTTTTACTTTCATTTTCTTTTTATGTCGTTCGATGACACAATTCGTAATGAAAGAACCAAGCCTTGTGTGTGTTCTTGTAATCCCATCGGACAAGATTCTTTAGAACCCCTCCCCCAACCCTTATTTATTTCTCTTGCTTTTCTTTCGAATTAGATTTATGTCACTTTCGATGATCATGCCAATTACGTGTTAGACATAAGTCGTTCTATGCTCGGACTTATTGTCTCCAACATGAAGATACATATCGATCTTTATACTGAAATAATAAAACTGACCATATACGCGCAAAAAAATCTCTGTATGTGTGTTTGTGTGAACGTTAATTAAAGAAAGAAAGAAAAAAAAAGAAAAAAAAATTCCACCCCCCACAAGTTCCAACAGCTTATCACAACTTTTTCACCAAAAGGTTTTTCCTGCTTTTTTTTGCTCTTTTTTTTAAATGACATTTTTGAGGCCCAACCCGTGACGTCAATCAAAATGTTTGACACATTTTCGTCGAAATTCTCTTCGTTAATTTTGAAACCAACCTCGATGTATGTTTGCATTTGTATTTTTCTTTTTATGTGTATGTTTGTGCATGTGTGTACGTGTGGGTTAAAGTTTCATTCGAACGTTCAAAAAGTTTTTCTTTTTTTTTTGCAATTCTACCCTCATTAACGTTTATGGAACACAGTCGACGCGTTTAATATAATTATGCGCAAAAACGTGTACGCTCGCATATGTGCAAGAAGAAGAAGAAGAAGAAGAAGAAGAAAAAGAAGAAGAAAAAGAGGAAAAAAATAAATGGGGAGGGATGGGGAGGAACCGCATATTATATCCGTAATGATGAAAGAGCACATTTTTTTCTTCTTCAAGGAGAATCAAAGGAAGGCATTAATGAGAATAATTTAAAAAAAAAAAAAATAAAAAGAAAAAAAAAGCTATCAAAGTTCGTGCTAAGTAAACTTAAATATAATCGACTCTTTCAAACGATTTCTTTTAAATCATTTCGATCAAAATTATTTGAATACGCGTGATCGAGAATAAAATAAATTACATTACAGTAATAATTGTACCACATTTCATATCGAATTGAACTATTTTTTTTTTTTTTTTTTTACTAACAATTAGAACATTATTTGTTATTAAATTCAATACTTCTCATTTCAATGTCTTTTCTTTCTTTTTTTTTTTTCTATATCGAAAACACAAGGGAATACAATGTGTAGCATATTTTATATTGGACTTTCTACTCTTATCATTAAAGTATACTTTTAATTCTTTTAATGTCATATAAAAAATATTTATATATACGTATAAAACATTTGAAATAAAAAATGCAAACACTAAATGTCTAAGGGTATTCAACATGGTTGATGAAACATAGAAAGGTGTGTTATAGAAATCCAATAACATTGCGTGCTAACAATATGTTCTGTATGTTTAAAGATAAGATTTTGGTGCTGTGAACAAATCCATTGAGGAAAATGAACATGTGACGATAATCTCGCGCATAATCAATAACACAAAATCACTTTGGAGAACGATGCATACAAACAAAATGTACACTAATGTGACAAATACACATCATATATAATAAATATATTTTTTCTCCAAAGTATATCAACAAAAATAAAAAATAAATCACGAAAAGAATTTGGTGACGTATTAAAAATGAAATAAAATTAAATTAAAATAATGATGATAATAATAATAATAATAATAATAATAATAATAATAATAATAATAATAATAATAAAAACAAATAATAAAATGTAGAATTGGGATTGAATTTCTATCTCACATTTCTCGGATCACCGATAATCGGTTGGGCTCTTTTTTTTTCGTGACGATAAAACGACGGCAGTCGCGTATTACAACGAAATGGCTCTCAAATTGATCGGGCGAACGGTCGCACGTAGTAGACGACGCTGATTTTAGTCCACCCCCTATCGTCCTCTTCCTCTCCTTTAAATCTCTCTCTTTGTCTCTTTCTCTTTCTCTTTCTCTTTCTCTAAATCGTTGGTAAATAAAACGCTAAAATTAAGCACCCGTCGAAAAAGCTCAATCTCTCTCGTTCGTGGGACGATGTCGACGATAGATTGAAATTTTAATTGGATTCTGCCTATGGAACATACAGAGGGATGAGAGAGAGGGAGGTGAGAGGGGGCGGAACGGAGGCGGAGGAGGAAATTTCAAATCGTACAAACGATTACGCAAGGGTAACAGCACTCATTCTACCTTTTTCATAATTATTGACACCTTGTTAACCAAAGTTTATTATTGTGATCGTTAAACTAATATTTTTCATATTATTCATATTTTTCATACAAACATGCATACATTTGTTTATGCATTTATGTAGATTCAATCAATTTAGAATAGATAATTAATAATAATAATAATTATTATGATTGTATATGCATGAGTATTTATTAGAATATTCGATGCACATATCAGTCAAATTAAGTCAACAATATTGGCTATGTGTTATTATTATTATTATGTTTGCTATGACGTTAATTGATTATTATTGTGTTTATTACTATTAAATATAATAATAATTATAATAAATGTGATTTTTATATGGTACTTGGTGTGTAATCACATTTCAATAAATTGATAATGTGTTGAAAAACAAGGCAAGAAGTTAAATCTTTTGTAACATGAAGCAAATAATAATCAAAATGAAATATTAATTTTGTTTCGTTTTAGATTCAATATATTCTATCATGGTAGAGGACAATTATCGGAACAGTAAATTAAAGAATCAGGACACGACATACCTTTTTCGTTGCCACAGAACCGTTAGAATGGAAAAGTGTTAGCAACGGAACAAGAAATAGAAAGAAAGAAAGAAAGAAATAGAAAAAAAAAGAATAGAAAAATTCTTATAATACACATACACATACCTATACATAGAGACACGGATATATTTGAAAGGAAGGCAAGCCTAGTCGTTTCCAAGACTTTACTCGTTATCGAAGAACGATTCATTTTCTCGATGACTTGCAATCACTCTTCTCCCTTCAAAAACATCGAAGAAGAAGAAGAAAAAGAAGAAGAAGAGAAATAGCATGTTGCTAGCTACTCTACTTCCTAAGAGTAAAAGTCGAGTCAGTAAGCTCCTCTGCTTGGTAAAATATCGAAGCACGTTTTCATTTACAGCTACCTAGCTAACTGCTATTGCTTTGATCAAACGACTTGAACGAGTATCGTTCGTAAATACACACACACACAAATACACATTCACATACACACACCTTCTTTTTGCCAACCCTTTTTTTCGTATCCAGATCGAGTGTTCAGAAAACGAGGTCATCGGTGTTGTAGGCGAATATATGGTAGTCAACTTTTGGCCATGGACGTCGTAAAAATGACTCGCGAAATTGTAATTGATTGAAAGGAAAACGATAAGAAATCAGGATTCCTAATGTTTTAAAAACCTTCAACATTATCGATATACATATGTATGTTATATGTACGTAGGTATACATATATATTTTCTCATGATATTAAATTGTTTATTAAATTATATGCATTTTCGCGTCTAAACACATTCACACGAGGTTTACTATCTTAGATGGAAAATAATATGACGTGGCTTGGTTGGTTGGTTGGTTGGTTGGTCGGTCCACTTTTCGCTCGTCGCACGATATCTGATCGATATTTATTACGGTTTACTTGCCTTAGTCGGGACTCGGTATGCGAATGCTAGCAATGCTTGATCATTCCCCATTTCCATATTTATTTATATATTAGTTTCTTAGAGAGAAAGAGAGAGAGAGAGAGAGAGAGAGAAAACTTATCTCTGCCCCCCTCCCCTTAGGAAAGCAAAACATCAAGAAAAACAGACAAACAGAGAGAGAAAAAGAAAGAGGGAAAAAATCTAAACAACGTCAGACCAAAACATTGATAAGTAAACAGTATCCCGCATACATAAATATGTATACATGTGTACGTATATGTATATATATATATATATAGGATACTCTGATGCTTTGTATACTACATGTGTCTATATGCATTTATATTGATGTGTATGTGAAAACGCACCCACCGAGATCGTATCAAGGTACAGAGAAGTGGTTCCGTTCGTCCCCGTCGCTAGTCAGTCGTGTTTCAAAGGAGGGAAGAACGTACGTACAGCCATCCGTCATCGTGAGATCCGCAGCGGAGATGCACGAAGCACGATCTTCCTCGTTCGAACGTAGAAATCACCTCTTCCTCTTTCTCTTCCTCTTTCTCTTCCTCGTTCTCTTCCTCTTTCTCTTCCTCTTTCTCTTCCTCTTTCTCTTCCTCTTTCTCTTCCTCTTTCTCTTCCTCTTTTTCCACCACTACCACCAGCAGCACAAGCAACTTCTCCACCACCGCCACTGGCACCGCCGCCACCACCTCTTGCTGCTGCTGCTCCTCCTGCGCCTCGGCCTCCTCCCTACCACTTGCTTCCTCGAGCTCTGGATCGACCGCCGTCGTTGCGACAGAGCTTGGAAAAACAACCGATGGGTACCAGAAACGGTTACAGAGAGACCACACTACTATACAAAAAACTCTTCTCTTCTTCCCACAACCTTCTCTGTTGTTCGGCAAACGTTCCCCCGAAATTTTTTTATTTCACTTATTTCTTCTTGTTACCCTTCTTTAATTTTTTACTATGATAAAGATAACCAAACTTCAGCACTCTGGATTCACACGAGGAACACTAAAAAGCTTTTAATCCAGGACGAGACACTCCTTTCATTTGACCTTAGCTTTTTTTTTTCTTCTATCTTCTTAGATGAGGAAATTGCACAAGGATCTCATTATCGACCGGTACTCTCTTTCTTTCTCTCTCTCACGCACGCACACACACACTCTCTATCTTTCTCTCTCTCTCTCTCTTTCTTTCTTTCTCTCTCATACATTCAAGTTCGCTTGATAGCGACGAGCTTTTTTTTATTTTCTCCCTTGTTTGCAAATATGCATCTAATTGTATCTATTTTTTGTTGTTGTTGTTGGTTGTTATTATTCTTGCGTGCTTTTTACTCTCTCTTTTTTTCGGCTTATTATTTTAGCAATGAAGTAGTACACGTTGAGCTATCTGGTAGAGCTCGTACGAGCTTGCGAGATTTTCTTCAGTAGCTCGACGAGTCTCTCCAAAGTTAGCACCACTGTCGTTTCAGTAGCGTTCTAGCTGTTAAGGCAGCACCGCGCGCACCCGCGCTACGCTGCCACCAGCACCAGCACCAGAACCAGCACCAGCACCAGCAGCAGCAGCAGCAGCAACAGCACCAACACCGTCACCGCCTCCGACCATATTTTTGGGGGAGGGAGAAGCTTTAAGGGGTGGGACGAGGATCCTAGTCGGTGGTAATGGTGGTGGTGGTGGTAGTAATAATAGTGGGGGTTGGGGTGGTGGTGGTGCTACTGCTGCTGCTACTGCTGCTGGTGGTTGTTACCGCCACCAAAAAGAGAGAGGGAAAGGACAAGTAAAAAAACGCAGTTAATACTAAAGGGAAGATTCCGCCTTGTCCTCGTCCTCCTTCTCCTTCTCGTCTTCGCCTTTTTAAGGAATAGCAAACGTTCAATCGCATCCGTTCACCGATGTGTGTATTCAAATACTTAGCACAGCCAGTCTGGACAAAACCCGAACGCTTTTTACTTCATCGACGACAATTCATGAAGCAGCATGACCACCACTAACAACAACTGGGAACGGACATGCGCGTCTAACTAAATCTTCCCCTTTTTATTATTTTCTTTTTCTCTATATAATTCTATTGCGATTAAATATGATTCAACTGTAAAGACTTTTTTTCTTTCTTTCTTTCTTATATGTTCTTCTTAATCTTCTTATTTAATTTGAAGCCGCACGTTCGCTTCCTCTTATTCAACGTCGTATTCCTCATCGTTCCTCGAACGCAAAGGAACGACGACGGAAGCTCGACTCCTCAGCACGGACTCACAATATCTCGTTTCCTTCCTACTCCAACAACGACGTAGGTTCTCTCCTCCGCGTTCGCTGAGCTTTCGGTCGTATTCGTGCGTTTTCGTATACATTCGCGATAAACCGGCTAAGTTCGGCTCCTCTCGTCCACCCACCTTCGTGAAAGCTCTTTCCCTCTCTTCTCACAGGTACACATATGTGCTACATATAAATGTGTGTGAGTGGGTGGTGTGTTTGTGTTTGTGTCTGCTGCTGCTGTTACTGCTGCTGCTGTTACTGCTGCTGCTGCTGTTGCTGCTGCTGCTGCTTTCTCGCACTAGGTCTCCCCGCAAAGCCTGAGTATATACTTACCTGCACACACGAACCTCACCGAGTTTCACCGAAGTCCAGCGAGAGCTTATTCTCTGCACAAAGCCGCGACACGCAGCTGGGGATTTCGAACCTTTCTTCGTATGCCTTGGTGACACGTATCGAGAACGTCTTCTCGATATATTCCTCAGACATGTTTTTAGGGTTGGCTATTTTCTTTGGATCACTATTCTCTCGAAAAAATAATCATACATCAATCGTTACTTGTTCGTTAAATGAATGAGCTTTTGCAACTTTGTTAGCAAACGTTACTCATGAATAAATTTTTGTTATTTTTGTCAAATAAAATCCTATCAATCTCGATTTATTATTATAGGAAAATCATAAATTCCTTTTCGCATTGTTTCGATGTAATTAACGGATTGAAACTTTGTCAAATAGTTAAGACGATAAAGTTTGTTCATGATAGACATTTCCCTCTCTCTCTCTCTCTCTCTCTCTCTCTCTCTCTTTTTCTATCTATCTCTAAAGAGAGTAGCATGAAATTATACGAGTTACAAGATATTCGTTGGGTAAAATTCAGGGCGTTCGCTTGATACCCATATTACATAGAAGAGATCCAACGTACCATACATATATACCATACATATATGCGTGCATGCACAGGTATACTAAACTTCAACACAAACGCGAGATAATTGCTTTGCTTGGAAGAGTTACCAGCTCGATTTTCCTATGGAAATAAACGGAGATTGATAAGTTTGTTTTGCTCGGTTGTGTGTGAGAGGAGAGAAAATGGAATGCGTCGTAATAACTAACCGAATGTATAATGGAATATACATATCCATACTGAAATCTGAAAAACAAGCAAAATCCCGGATGTCTCTTTGCTCGTTTCATCGGCCCCGAAAAGAGAAACAAGAGTAGCAGGGTTTCTGTGTGGGTGGTGGTGGTTGTAGTGGTTGGTTATTTGCTGGGATGAGAAAAAGAAAAGAAAAGAAAAGAAGACAACAAAAAAAAAAAAAGGGGAATATCGTGAAAAACGAACGCTTTCAACGGTGGGCGGATTAAAAGAGATAGTAGTGCGAATACACGAAGGGATAAGAGATATCCTAAGAAGACGTATAGAGATTTGCCAAGGCAAAGGCCAGTTTCCTAGCAGATGGAAATATGTGAATAAAAAAAGAAAGAAAGAAGAGAGGCACTCTTAGTTATGAACATCCTTGGAATAAATAGAGACGAAGTGAAACACGCCGAGGTAAACTCCCGACGTGTCCAATGAGAGAATGAGTGCACGTGTCCTCGAAAGGGAATGAAGGGTGTAGTCTAAATCCCGAACAAGTTAATAAAATTAATAAGAATTTCATGATTTTTTGAATGTAATAAAATTATAGAAATCAATTAAAGATAAATAAAAAAGAACTCTACCTTAACGTCTAGTTTTTCACGATAAACGAAAAAAAGAAAATAAAAGCACGGAGGAAAATAGTTCTGGATCCAATTGGATCCATTTAATTGCTAAAGGTTTTTTTGGAACAACAACAACAGCAGCAACAACAGCAGCAGCAGCTAAAATGCTACTTGAGACGAGCTTGGACATTGATGATCATTAAAAATATGCTTTGTGGTCATAGATGGTTGGGAAGAAAAAAATACTCAGGGAGAAAGAGAGTTAGAAGCCTCGGAACAAAAGGGTCTACGATCCGAATAAAAGAGCGTGTTGAGATATTTCGATCTCGTGGGAGTAAATGGAGAAGGGTCGGCGTAGCGCCGTAAAAAGGTCCTCGCAAAGAAGAGTAAACGGGGGATAGCTGAGAGACATCAGCGTGCTGACGGTTAGGGTGCTGCTGAGTAAAAGTAAAAGAAGCTCCGCTAAATGTGGGAAAGAAGAAAAAGAGGGATACCTATATCTATATATATATATACTTTCCTTACTTCCTTCTTTTCTTTCTCCGATTTTTTTTCTTCTTCTTCTTTTCCTCGGTTAATCAAAACTCCGAAGAATAGTTGGAAGAAAAAAATGGAGGGTGGAGAGGAGAAGAGCTTTGCTCTAATGCGATGTATGAATTATACATTCACTGGTAAACTGTCTTGTCTTCAAAAATGGAAAGAAAAGAAGAAGAAGAAGCTCTTGATGAGGAGAGAAAGAGGAAGAGAAAAATAGTGTACGAGTTAAAAAAAATAACTAAAAAGTAAAGGATCAACTAATAAAAGGATTTATTCGAGCATTGTGACACACGTTAAACCGTATCAATTTATTTTTTTTCTTATAGTTGTTTAATTAGGATTAATAGTTCTCTCGTACCAATTTTTTGGATTTGTTCATAGATAATGGATATATGTAAATATTGAATCAGATATGATGACGAATGAAATGAATATTTTTTTTATGTATACATCTATTGATTAGAGAAGTTTCATATGAAAATCTGGTTATACAGGATTGATATTTATAGAGTTTAGCGAGGGGTGATTTTTTTGCTGATTTCATTTGACCTTGATAGAAGAGCGGCAATCTCTCCATCTCTCTCTCTCTCTCTCTCTCTCTCTCTCTCTCTCTTTCTGCGTGTCACGATGTAATCGTCAGGTTCTTCTAACCAAGGAGGAGGAGCAGCAGCAGCAGCAGCAGCAAGTGCAGTGGCGCAATAAAAACTTGTGAGTAGCTTTGCGAGCGTTCGGGAATGTAAAGAAGGTGGACTCTGACGAGCGTAAAAAATCTGATGCATCGTTTGTTATTGGTCGTTTGCTTGCGAGCTTTAAAAGAGAGATTTGCACACGGGTTATGCCAATAAAGCAGAAGTAATAGCGCGTATGTGTGTGTGTGCGTGTGACGTTATTCAAATATAAAAGCATTCGTGTTTTTTATGCATAAAGAAATTTGCAATCGGTTGAGGGGGGAGTCTACGTCAAGCTGTATACTAATTAGACGTATGATAAAAATAAAATTGGATAAAATGAAACGGCGAAAATACGAAGGGTTGGCTGATTGTGTCGAGTTAGACGTTGAATCAAAGTAAAGTCACCTTTGCTAACACCCTTTTTTGGGGAATATCTTTTTTTTTTTTTGTTAATCATTTTACAACCGTATCTAAATTTGTCTAAAAGGGGATCACCTTTTTTCTTAATACAGCACTGCTTTCACCGAGGAGGTTCTTATTGATCAACGATCAGTATAGACACGTCTTGCAGCTTCTGGAGTTTCACACGAGCCAGGAGTTTCTACGAACGTATATGACCATATTTACTTCCAACTTCTTCTTCTTCTTCTTCTTCTATATATGTTTTTAATCTTATGTGTGTTTAACTCGTTTTACGGTTAGTTTCCTAATTAATGGATTATTTCGTTGAAAATTTAATTATTCTTATCTTTAATTCTAGGAAATAAATCTTTCTTTAAATCAACTTTCAAAGTTATCTCGACTACAATATAACTTGTATTATATATAATTTCAATATATATATAAATCGATATGTGACTTGTTCTTCTTAAGAAAATGCTATCATCTCTTTCATTGTTATCTTTATTATTATGTTGATAAGTTATGATCGATAGATACGTCAAAATCAGATGAGTTTTGAGAACGCTAAGGGTTCGATATCATCGAAAAGAGTAATTATGCGTAATTTGTAGAAAAAGGAGAATGAGAAAGAAAGAAAGAAAGAAAGAAAGAAAGCAAGAGAAAGAGAAAAAAAAAGGTCGAGGTAAATTGTCCATGGACCGTATTAAATATCGCATGGAATAATTTACGGGTGCATCCGTATCTTGTTGCGCTTGACCTATTTTATCTTGGACTCTCGGGAACGTGGCAAGCTTGATGTGTTATTACTTCTTCGGAATTTAATTAATTCCTCCTTTTTCCCTGAGATTTTCAACCGTTTTCACAATTT